ATTTGGGACGATTGAGCGAGATTAGAATGGCTGGAAAGCCATTCTAATCTCGCTCAGACTGACGTCCGGGATATCATCGGAATAGTGTCGGATAAGACTAGCTCTTGGATCGTTACTCACACTTGCGTGTGGCTCCTACGATAATGTGTACAGCTGCACGTAGAACCCCTCAATATCACTCAAAATCTCAGGTGTCCGGAACGATGGTGCAACACTCAGTTTTCAGCTTTGACAGTTGGCTCTTACTGGCAAAGACTTTGGAGCCCTGGTTCCGCTCGATTGCTTCTTCAATACTAGCAGTATTAAAGTTGCGTAAGTCTCGCCGCATGCATTTGGAAATCTGTCTGTTCAGTTGCCTGTATGCTGTCAAATCTGACGACGATTGCAGCCTAATCTCCCGTCTAACAGCCATGAGGTTAAGAGTGTGATCGGAGAGTTTTTGTGTTCTTTTGCGGCGGGTCTTGCAGAACTTAGCTCCTACAGCCTGGACAGTTTCCACGAGCTTGTCATTCATATCTTCCACTGCATTGCAATCTTCTAGGCACTGAAAGCAGTTACGTAACTCGAGCTGAAAAGTTTCGGGATTCTTGAATACAGCACGAGGGGGACGGAGCGTTGACTTCATTAGACGAGACCTCTCCAACTTAAAGTTTAGGTTCAGTGTGCCTCCAACCATTCGGTGATCGCTGCCAGCTTGCGATCACTGAGACATCACTGAACAGTTAGCGTCTGGACGTCATAATGAAGTCGATCTCATTTTTTGTCGAACCGTCGGGACTCGACCAGGTCCACTTTCTGTGGGGCCGCTTCTGGAAGAAAGAGTTTATCATAAGAAGTCCCTCTTTCTCCATGAAGTCGGCCAGCTGCTGGCCCCGTTACGCTATCCTAAATTTCCCTACCTTCAGCTCGTTCTTTCTTGTGCCCAGTTTTGCGTTGAAGTCTCCCATTAACACCGTATAGTGAGTTTTGGAGGAATGCATGGCTCTAGAAATATCCTCATACATTTCGTCCACCTCCTCATCGGGATGTTCCGACGTTAGCTGGCGCGTAAACCTGTATGACCTTCAGCGAATACCATTTGGAATATATATATATATATATTTTATATATATATATATTTTTTTTTGCGGGCAATAAAAGTAGTTACATAGTTATATAACTACTTTTAATGCCGGTAAAATTAACGTCTCTTCGATGGTGTGGTTTACCTGTTTGAGCAATTAACAAAGAGATATTGTATGAAGCCCGAAGTCCGTAATCGTCTTGCTTAGCGGCGAAGAGTATCAAGACTCTTGGCTGAGCATTATGCTTCTTTTCCAGCTCTTGAAAATACGCTACATTTTTGTCCTTCTTATCTGGATACTTTTTAATCAAATGATCTTGAAGTATTGAAGGCTTCATCGTTACGTTTGAAAATGTTTTTGAACAAAGAAGGCACAAAGGCAAAGATGAATTTTTCAAATGTTCTGTGAATCCATATTTAATATATTCCGTATTACATTCCCGTCTCTTCTTTTTTACTTCCGACATGGCTTTGTTTTTACAAATATGTAAATAAAGTGTTAAACTTAAATACTTGTTTAAAGATTGTGCCCGAAATCACTAATGGAATTATAAAAATATTACGAGCTTTATATAGGATTTAAATACAGCACGTGTCGACAGGAATAAGACAAACACGCGTAAACTCGTTTATCTCTTTCGACGCTCAATCGTACTGAGCAAGTTAAGACAAGTAACGATGAACCAGCCGATTGCTACCGGATTGCACTAATAGCGTTATTTAATAAAAACTTTTTACAACTTGATTGCGTACGGCGTACGAGCTATCCTATGAAATCGATGTAAAGTATTTCTAGTTTATATACCATCATAAAGGGCAGAAATATAAACTAATTATTCAATATTGAGTAGTAGGTAGGTTTTCATTTTTGTAAATTTTAAAATATAAAGTATGTAAATAAAATTACAAAACAACCATTCAGCTTAGCACGCACTGCGATTAAACGCGAGCAATTTAGGAATAGCTGAAAACGCAAAACCACATACCATCAGGCACTGCGGCTGTAGTTTCGCTTAATTTTATTTCAGTACTACCATGGATTTCGAGCAAGTAGCGTGTGTTGTGGCTTTGGCTTTTAAATTAAAAAATATAAAATGTAAATAACGGCGCTGCCCTAAGTACTGGGTTTATCCACTAACTGTTAATTATTTTTATTAACACTGTTATTAATTTTTTTAAAGGAATATTAACAATGCTATAAACATTACTAATATTCCCCTTAACCACACGTGGTAAGCTTAAATTGCTTGTGTTACGAGTGGTTCACGCCAGTAGTCGAATGGTGGATTCGAACCCACGACCTTTTTGAGTTCGCGGTCATAGCCCTGCCAATAGGCTACTGTCGATTAAAAAAAATCGATTTAAAAATGAATTGCCGAGTTACTTACCATAAATTGAAATATAACATAATATAACACATTTTTGTGATGTATGATAGGAATCACAGATAATATTATTTAAGAAACAAAAAAAAAACAAAACATATGTGCTGACCTAGAATTGTGTATAATATCAATATTTAAATATTGTTATCATTTATAAATTGAGATTTTGTAAGTTACGTCTTTTGACACTCGGCTCATATCCGAGTTCATTGTCAGTTTTTCACAATCGGTTTGGTTGGATTTTACTATATCTAGCGGTAGTATACCTTCTCTGTGCTTTGTCAAACACGTCCTTGACATCACCGAATATGAAACTAAAGAGTATGGTTTAAGATATGTTTTTTTTTTTGTTTTTAGCAGTTTTTATAAGACTGCTAAAAACAACAAAACCATATCTTGTACTTGCCCTAATTTGGAGCCTTAGCTTCGCCACTGAACGCTAGGTCACGTTCGCGTCTTACGATCGGCTAGATTTAAATAAGCCGCGGCTTAAGGACCCGACTGATAGTTTGTTCTCAGCTTTACGCCTCACGCATAGAGAAAAGAGAATAGAGAAGCATGTATCTGCAACGTTGCCGACTTCTGGGGAATTCCCCAAACCGTGGGGAGATTCCGAGGCACGGGGGTGGGACTCCGGGCAGCTACTGAGAATTTCTTGAAAGATAAACTCAATTGTTGATTTTTTGGCCCAAACCGGGATTCAAACCCAGGACCTCATGATCAGCAGTCGCACTACTACAACCACTGAACCAACGAGGCAGTCAACATACTTCTTTGGTAATGACATACATTTCTTTAGCTTAGGTAGTTATGGACTATTTTAATAATTTTTAGCTTAGGTACACATTAACAAACGACCCAATACATATTTAAATTTCGGCATCTTTATTCTTTCAGCAATCGTAAAGAAAAATTTTATTGGATTTTGATCAACATCGGCTTGAAGTTTATGGAGATAATATCGGTTCTGAATGTTACTGGGGTAAAGCGTTTCGCCTTAAAAACGATACAGGACAATACGTATTCCCAAACATAAAAGTGTGATTTCCTTGTTGCTCATACTGCCGTTTTCAAACGAATCGATCAAACGAAAATTTTGTTTGTTTTAAAATTTAAAACAGAAAACCGCCACTGTTTAAATATATAAAATTTTGTGTCTTTAATGGAAACTAAAGAGGGGATTAAAAATTGGGTAACATCGGCAGTGTCAAATTTAATCCTTCCAGCAAAATGAATGCAAAAAATATATGGAAAAAGTGTGACTGTACAAAAAAAAATATTTAAAGAGTTGAACCTGTTTCTTGTTCTAAATATACAAATTTGGGGTATTTTTTTTGGATTTTTGGGGAATTATATATATTTACATTGGCAGCCCTAGTGTTTGTGTGTGCTTCCTTGTAGGCATGTCGATTCACTCTTAAAAAATCGATCTCTGAATCGATTTGAATCGAAAACACTAGAATCGATTATCGATTAAATCGAGGATTAAAAGATCGATTTTCGATTAATCGCGACATTTTCAAACACGAAATTTCAAGAATTTGTGATTTTTTCTTTAATTGAACTTTAATGTTTTTTAAAATAAAATATTAGTAATCTTAATAATTTACATTATTAATATTCCTTTTAACCACTCCTGGTAAGCTTGAAACCCTTATGTCAGTAGTGGTTTGCACATAAGCCACTCGATCCTTTTTTTACAAAGTGATTCCATGTATCACTTTTATTTGATATTTTAGGCTAGAAACAACAACAATACTTTAACAAAAGTTCAAACTGCAACGTACATTTCTCGATAAATCTGTTTCAATGTAATAACTCACTGTTTATCAAAATGAAGTGAATGCTACACGAACACAATACTGGTTATTTCCTTACTATAAACCTCTATAAACTTCAACATATAATATTTATTTACAGTATCTAGGTATTTAAAAAGTACTCTGTCTGTACTTCAGCTCACAGTATGTATGTTTTTGATAATAAATAAAGTAAACTCACAAGTTCACAGTACAAACAGGTTCACAGCTATAATATTATAATGTAGTATGTATATGTAGTATGTATAGTCTTTGTTCACAGCACAGATTAAGTTAGACCAACATTCCACAGGTAAGATTAGAATTAGAATTTTAGAAATGAAATGATAACTTTTCGATATTGTTGGATGCGTTCATAAATATTTATTTTATTCAAATATATATTGAGTTCAAATTATCAACCAAGTACGCCCGATTGTTTTATCGATAGTTCTTGAAACAGATGAATCAGTCCGATTCGAGAGGTTTTTGGGTCGATTCAGTGAATCGATGCGGTGCTCGGAATCGATCTAAAAGATCGATTATTTTACGCCAAAGAATCGATTTTTCGATTAATCGATTTAAGATTTACATGCCTACTTCCACAGAGTACCTTTGCCTACTTCCTTGAGTGTCAAATTTGTAAAATATTTGATTTGCTAAAAAAAATATAAATATTTTTGTGGCTTCTGATCAGACATCAGTTATCGTCATCAATTATGAATGTTAATTTGATTTAGCTTTTAATCTAAAATGGAAACTACACCCTTACTGACGAGATCAAAAAAGACATCCGTCTGGTCAAGGTACTATTCAGCTCTTTAATATTATTTCCTAAGATTTACTTTGTTCTACTAAGCTGATTTATTATTGAATTTATTTCAGATTTAATTTTTTTAGATTTCGTAAGAAGGAATTAAGCTCTAGAGTTATATATATAGGACAATTACCTGCAGATGAGTTTCCACCAAATCATATCTGTAATCAGGTAAAGATGTTTATAATTTTACCAACTTACATCAAGTTAATGCCATCAATGCATTTTGTAAAAATATAGATCAATAAGAAAATAATATATAAAAAGGAAAAAAATATAGATCAATAAGAAAATAATATATAAAAAGAATAACAGTGTGTAAATACATATTATAATCTTTAACTTCAATATATAGTCTAAATCAACCACACCTAAGCCAAAGAAAGGCACCAAAATAAAGGCGAATTACTGTTGTTTATATGTATTTATTTAGCTAAACCGTAACCGATTATGAAGATAAAGACCTAAAGCTTTAAACAGATTTTGTAATCTTATTTAACATCTCTATGCTCTTAATTTTAAATATGATTGTTTACCATATAACAATACTTGAAGTGATTTTTATTCAGAGTCGGTTTAGCTAATTAAAATTTGTAAAAATTTGCTGATAATACAATTATATATTTACTTAAACCTCTGTTTTTTTTTTGTTACAGAAATATAGTTTTATTACATTCCTGCCATTAGTATTGTATGAACAGTTTCGTTTCTTCTTAAATTTATATTTTCTTGTGATGGCTGTTAGTCAGTTCATTCCTAGCATCCGCATTGGATATTTATATACATACTGGGGTCCGTTGTGTTTTGTGCTTGCAGTAACATTGTTTAGGGAGGCTGTTGATGATTTTAGACGATACAGGTACCTTTAAACTTAATTATTTAATTCTGATTATAAAATATGTTTCAATAACTATTGGCTTTTTACAATTGTTGACTAAAAAGATCATTGTAATACCTATTATGCCTTAACCCCTCAATCCCAATAAAAATCCCATGCAGTTGCATGCGCCTGGCAAATCTCGAGTGGTTGCATGCAGCCGCACCCACCCGCAGCACTTATAACCATTAAAACTTATATTTAGAGACTACTTTTCTATGAAGAAGTTTGGCATTATAAAATCTATACAAAATTCTCTATATAAAAGTCAGGTTTTACTTCATTACTAAAAGACTATTGTATTTTGATAACAAAAACAAAACATACCAAGTGAATGTCGGCAGGGTGAAAATCACAATTATTTCAATATATATTACTTGAAATAATTTACATAAAAAGATAAATTATATTTACACAAATACTTTCATTACAATTTTATAATAAAACACTATACTAAAACACTAATAAAACACTAAAAAAATCCAAAAATCAACACAATAACATTCACGCTTCATCCATAGGATACTTGAATTTTTATTGCACTAGAGGATAGAAAATTTCATGTTGATTCTATAATGCCAAACTTCTTCATAGAAAAGTAGTTTTGAAATATAAGTTTTAAGTTTAAAGTGCTGCGGGTGTGTGCGGTCGAATCTGACCACTTTTTTTTTGATGGAATAGTGCCACAGTCGGATTCGACCGCTTGGGGACTGAGGAGTTAATTATTATAGCTACAATATAACTTGTCTTTTTTATGAAAGTTAATCAAAAAAGCAAACATAATTTCTATTGATATTTATTTAAGTAATAAAAAATTATCACAGAAAGATAATTTCAGTCCTAAATTCTTGTCTAGAACTATTTTTGTCATTTTTACCAATCTACTCTAGGGGTGTAATTTTTAAGTTTCAGTATTATTCTTATTTTAATAACAAAATGGAACCACCTTTAAATAAGCATGTTATCATTTATTCTTGCAGAAGAGATAAAGAAGTAAATAGACAGTTGTATGAGCGTATAGTTTTAGATACACTTACTGATGGCTACCGTCCATTCTATACAGAACATGTGCCTGCTTCAGCTCTTAGAGTTGGTGATATTGTTATGCTTCATAAAGGTCAGAGGGTTCCAGCAGATATGATATTGCTGAGAACAAATGAGACAATGGGTACTGTGTTTATACGTACAGATCAGCTAGATGGAGAGATTGATTGGAAATTGAGGTAAGACATTCGTTTTTTGTAAATGAAATAAAACTGAAATTTTTACATTTCTCCAACAAGAACAACTGATTCTCAAAAGCAAGTAGACTTATTTTATATTCACATAATTGACCAAAAAACTAATTATCAATGTAGTTGAAAGCTTGAAAGCATGAAGTATGTCAAAAAATGTTTCTGCAGGAACTGTTTGTTTCAATACATTGTTAGCTTTATGTAAAAACACTAATTATATCATAATTCATAATAAATAATTTACTGATAAAATTGTTTATTATTTAACTTCATTGGTATTGTAAGCAACTTATCTATAGGTTGTTTATAAACACTGATTTGTTATTGCATAGCCTCATAACAGGAAGTATTATTAGGTAGTGCTTTACTCTGGACATGTCAAGATCAACCAATTTTTTGTTTTTAAAATGCCTCTATCATAACCATATTGCACTTATACAATAATATGTGTAACCATATATCAAGAAAATACTCTAAATAATCCATCATATATTTTCAAAAAAATCATTTCATATTGCTACTTAAAAAAATGATTTGAAAAAAAATTAAGTGGACGTCAGGATGTTAATTTTGTATGTGGTCGCGCTAACTCCCGAAAAAATTAACGTTTCGAGACTGGATTTCCTTATTAGCTTCATAATTACATCAATCGATTCCCTATTTCATCTCAATAGCCTAGTATGTGCAGTTCATTATTAAAATGATTTTCTACTTTGATAGGTTTTATTGCTATTAAAATCCTTTAAATTTTAAAGGATTTTAATAGCAATAAAGGTAATAAAAAATTCAATGAATGATGAATGAAATGAATGAATCATCAAATGAAACGCTTATGAAACTCACATGCACTTTTGGATTTTACAAATATTTAAACATGTATCATTATTTTTTAAATCCAACCATTGCACGTTACATTGGTACATTCATATTCTTCAGCCCACAAAATACTTTGCTGGGAATAGGTCTCTCCCATTGCAGGAATTTCTGCTTGAATTGTCATGCTTCGCAGTCCAGTTGACAATGGCAGTACTGGACATCTTACATCTTTAAAACAAGTGTTCCCTGGTGTCGGTATTAAAAGCCTGGTGGAAAGTATCTGATGTGTCATAAGATTTTAGTCATCTCTTATGACTCATGGATCGAAATAGGGTGATGTATCCTCTTACATCACCACTTTACTATTACCATATGTTTGCCCAAGATTCTGATCCTGGAAGCGGCAGGAGCTATTGTATATAATATATTGATTTAGCCAAATTCCATAATGAATATCTCGACTAAATATAATTCAATAACTATGGGATGAAACAAAACTTCTATATTGAAAGTTAATTACAAATATATGTGAAAGTAGAACTAATGTTTAACGTTAAAACTATCATATCTGAAGTCTTGAACTATTATGACCAATTGTGTCTTTGACCATTTTCAAAATTCAAATTGTTTATTGGCACGGGCTATTTGTTATTGCATTGCATTTGTGATAGCTTGTTATTTGTATTAGTAGTATAGCTACTTATATCAGTTTAAAAATACATTATTTTCTTATCATTAAAGAATTAGTCAAGCCAAAGAATTGAAAAATTCTGTTAGTGTGATCAGTTATTATATTTAGTACCTGGATGACGGAGCTTTGCTCGTTTTTAATTAAAAAAAATTATGCAATTAGTTTAATTAAAATTTTCTTATTTTTAAAAAATACTAAAAAAAGGGCTCTAAATAATAGATTTTCTCACAAAAGAAGGGATCTTGAAAAAAAAAAAGGAAAAATCTCGGACCGAAGACAAGACGCGAACCAAGGCATTACGATGTCGCGACCGCTCGCTATCCTCTTGAGCTATTACGATCATTATCACAAGGTCAAAATTTACCTTCTTATATTGTAGCAGTTTTTCATTGCCTGAAAAAACGGACAAAAAGACATTTTCTAAAAATAAATCCTAGCTAGATTTATTATCCCCGAAACTACCTGGACACAAAATTTTATGAAAATCGTTGGAGCCGATTCCGAGATTCCGATTATATATATATACAAGAATTGCTCATTTAGAGGTATAGTTTTATTTATCTAATCAGTCTGGTCGGGCCTCCGACCTTGAAAACACTAATTGTGTATAGCTTCCTCTTTTTGACTGATGTACTTTTTATTTATTTTCAGAATTCCTCTACCATCAACACAAAAACTGCCAACTGATGCGCACCTTCTGGATATAAACGCGCAAATTTTTATTGAGAAACCAGAAAAAGACATTCATTCTTTCATTGGCACTTGTACTTGTTTGGATGAGGAGGAAAGTGATTCTCTTGACATTGAAAATACACTATGGAGTGGATGCGTTGTTGCTTCAGGACAAGCTACTGGATTGGTCATTTATACTGGTTAGTGTTCTTTTTTTTTACTTTTTATAAGCCAGTGCTTGTCCACAATCGCACCTGGTGGTAAGTGGTGATACAGCCTTAGATGGTAAATCGCACTGTCTTAGCGTAACAAAAGCCTATTCACTATTGCCTTGAAGACGCCCAGATTGTATTCGGACAGAAAGATGACGACGGAAAATTATTCCACTCCTTTGCTGTACGCATTAAAAATGTCGCAGTAAACCGTTTGGTTCTAATGCGTAGTATATCGACAAGAAAGGGGTGAAGACCCGCCGACCGCCTGGTCGTCCGATGGTGGAAAGGAAAGGGAGGAATTAAAACGTGCAATTCCTTTTTTATATTTAACTAGCGGCACACCTCGGTTCTGCTAGGATCTATAATTGTAGCATTATTTATATTTAAATATTCATTAATGACCATACATTTTATCAATTTTTCGAACTAGCAAAAAATTTTCGGAAAAAGTACAACCTAGATCACTTCTCGTTGCTCTCTATCTGTTTATCAAGTTTCATTACAATTGGTTCAGTCACTCCGAAGACCAGCCTAGACAGGCAGACAAATAGAGCGACAAAATTTTTGATTTTTTTTTGAGTTTGAAGAACTAATAAGTGGAACCAGTGATAGGTTTACCATATAGCATAACATCTAGTATACTCTGTTACAATTTGCTAATGAATTTTTAAATTTTGGCTTAATGACATCATTGCATTTTTTTATTATTAATAAGCAATGTATGCTGCCAAATGGAATGTAACTACAATCTATATGGATTTACTATCTATTTAGTATTTCTTTAGCTGGTCACACTTGAATAACTTTTTGAGAGAGTATAAATTGTTACGAGCTTAGGGTTTGTGACAGTAAAAACTGCCGATTGAATTACCGAAATTGACACTTTAGTTGCCGAACACCAATTAAAACTTAAAACACACTAATAATTAATCACACTGATCACTTTAGTTTACTTTATTTCGCTCCAAGCTTCGCTTGTATCGCCAATTCAATACTGCTCTGGTCGTGGTACCCGACGTCTTTATATAGGCCTTTTCCACCGAAACATCCAGAATATTCCAGCAAATACGGGCGCCGACCGACCAGGCGCAGAAAGTTCGAGTGTGGGGCTTTCTAGAAAGCTTAATTCTTCCATTTGTTACTAGATGGCGCTGTTGGGAGAGTTCCATAAAGATCTTGACGCTCCTATTTCTGCTGCGTGATACCAGATGGCGCTAATAATCAACCGCCACATACCAGGCGCTAATTATAGCGCGCAACAATATAAAGGCTTAGAATTTACCTAACATCATGTTATCGTTCTTTTAGGCACCGAAACTCGCAGTGTTATGAACAATGCAGTACCTCGATCGAAAGTGGGCCGTTTGGATCTACAAGTCAATAATCTCACCAAAGTACTCTTTGTGGCAACACTGTTCATCTCCTTCCTTTTGATAGTCCTCAAAGGGTTTGATGGACCTTGGTATGGCTTCCTCTTCAGATTTGTTCTGTTGTTTTCTTACATTATACCAATCAGGTGAGTGGGTGACATTTTTATTGTTTAATTGCAACCTACTGCTTTTTTTTATAGAAGAGGGGGCAAACGAGCATGCGGCTCAGCTGATGGTAAGTCGCTACCGCCGCCCATGAACAACCGCAACACCAGGGGAATTGCAGTTGCGCTGCCGGCCTTTTAAAAAGGAGTAAGCTCTTTTCTTGAAGGTCCCTAAGTCGTATCGCTCCGGAAAAATCGCCTGTGGTAAACAATTCCACAGAGAAGTTGTACGAGAAAGAAAACTCCTAGTAAAACGCACAGTGGTGGACCACCAAGCATCCAGATGGTGAGGATGGTATCTTCAATTTTGACTGCGGCTGGGATTAATCCAAACAAAGGGCTTGCTTTTTAAATATACTCATTATAATTAAGGTACATTTCTATCTAGAGCCAAATAATAGGAAAACTTTGTGGTACTTTATAAAAAAGGGTAGAATTGTATGATTGATAAAATACATTGCCACATACTTTGAAAATGTTACTTTGAGTGATGTCTCAAAACTTGTTTGTTTTGAGTTTTTAATTATATCTTTATTATTTAAAATATACAAGTAAGATGTTAACTTTACAACCAGTTAATTACTGCCCGTTTAGTATGGTGAGTGTAGAGATCCGAAGACCCTTTTTTACTGGAAACAAAGCATTGCATCTTAGTTCTCAAGGGTGTTATCTAGCGATATCTGCGTTTTGATTCTTAATCGTGGATAAATGTATATGTCTATGGGCCACAGCATCCACTTACCATCATCATATGTGCTAGTTTGTTGCCCCATTATATTTTTTTAAGTAATATTATTATTAAAAAGCCTCTTCCCTAGATTAAAGGTTGATATCACATTAAATAATAGATATATCTTGTCTGAAAAATACTTGAAAGATATATTTTTATATTAAAGCAATTACATTTTTTATGATCAACAGTTTAAGGGTAAACCTCGACATGGGCAAAGCATTTTATTCATGGACTATACAACGCGATAATCGTATAGAGGGTACAGTGATGCGTTCCACTACGATACCTGAAGAGCTTGGCAGAATACAATACTTGCTAGCTGACAAAACTGGCACTTTAACAAAGAATGAGATGGTTTTCCAGAAGCTGCATCTTGGAAACGCTCTGTTCGACAGTAATAATTTTCATGAGGTACTGACAATTTACTAATATTTTGATCTATGGTTTCTTAAAGAGTATATTTTTCGGAATTTACATCACAAGGTTAATTGTTAAAAACAATAATAGTGTAACTCTTCGCATACACCTAATCCGTCATCGGACGAAGTTTGCTCGGCCGAACTCGAACGATCGAATGAAATACTTGTAAAACAAAGAGAGCGCTTGCCTACACAAACACGACCGTTATCGTCCGATAACGCACGAAATCGGCCGATCAACCGTCGTGTCCGAACTTGTTGGGATTTCTGTTTATAGTTTAATTTAATTATTTTGTGTTTATTCTGTTGCTTCTGTCAGTGTTGTTATCTACCTAAACGACTATGGATATTGAAAATATAAAAATAGAAAAGAATACCGGCAACGTCCAATATCGGCACAAGTGGTACACAGATGACGTTTATGTGCTTACACTGCAGCACATAAACGTCCGAGTTACTCGTCCGAGTAGTTCTGTTCGCCATCGGTCGACAAAATCAGTTTTGGTGTAAACATACCGTTAGAGTGAATGTTCAACTTGCTCTCTTGCTTATACAATTAATAATAATTATCAGCAATAAAACAGTGTACCGCAGTAAACATTAAGTATAGAGCAATTACAGTTCGATCATACCTTAATATGTCCCCGTCACAATTACGAAGTAGTGTAGCTTGAGGATCATAATTACGTGATAACACCGAAGTACGCAAATCAGCAGCAACACTACCAATTTCATCGCAACACAGAACAGCCTCACAGCAAACCAGTCTTTCTTTCCTGCACTAGAAGTATTACTGCAATGGACAGAAGTATGATATTGTTATTTTGAGAGTCTTAGCACTCTTAGCATGACTTCACTCGTAGAATAACTTAGGTGGAATCTCCTCCGCACGTTACCTAAAGTGAACTTTATACTGCACAAACAAGTGGGGATTCTCGATATACCATCAATACTACCACGTGACACTATTAGAGTGATGCAACCTCTCGCTCACTCTCGATCCATTCGGTACTTTATGGTTGCCGACTTATTAATATTAACGTCTCAACCCCCTAGCGGTCTCATGAGACCGCGGCCATATTCCGTCAAATCCCTAGCGGTCTCATGAGGTCGCACCCACCCAGAGCACTTTAACCCATAAAAACTTATATATAGAGGCTACTTTTCTATGAAGAAGTTTGGCATTATAAAATCAATATGAAATACTCTATCCTCTAGTGCAACAAAAAAACTGTTACCGTATGAATATTTATTTATAATCTACGTTATTGTGTTGATTTCTGGATTTTTCTAGTGTTTTAGTATAGTGTTTTATTATAAAATTGTAATGAAAGTTTTTGTGTGAATATAATTTATCTTTTTACGTAAATAATTTCGAGTAATATATTATAATGAAATATTTGTGATTTTCACGCTGCAGACATTCGCTTTTGAAGTTTTTTTTGTTATCAAAATACAATAAAATCTTTTTTAATAAAGTAAAATCTTACTTTTGTTTAGACCACAGATTTTATAATGCCAAACTTCTTCATAGAAAAGTAGTCTCTAAATAAAAGTTTTAATGGCTTTAAGTGCTATAAGTGGCTGCGGTCGCATGCGACCGCTCGGGATTTGCCGGGCGCATGCGACTGCATGGGATTTTTATGACGCTTGAAGGGTTAATTGAAAATGATTGAAATTTTGTTGACATGTGACCATAACTCGTAAATTAAAGTCGACAGATCGATGTGCCAATAAAATCTAATGTTTTCCTATCGACGGTGAATATTCTTGTATATACGTTTTATAAAACATAGGATTGTAACGCATACCAACTTCTACAAATGCATTGCACATAGAAGAAGATGTGCAATGCAATCTGCTAACAAACTAGGCGCAATTTACACACAAATGGAGGTTACATTCGAAAATGCAGAACCCATTTTCAACAGGTTGATGGGTAGAAGCTACATTATCAGTGCCCCCCCCCCGCACTGATCAATCCACCCCTAACTTAAACTAACAAAGAAAGATAGATTAGCAATAATGTTTTCCAGACCGAATTTCGGTCTAGGTAGCCAGTCTCAGTGGAGACTAGCCGTCTGCGCAAAACAAGATTATAGTGCACAAGTGTTTGCGCAAATACAGGCTAACTCTCTGTTCCCCTTACTCTAATAGTTATATGAGATGTCAATCCGGCACGCCCGGAGAGATGTTGTGCTCAGGACTGCTTTCCGAGACACGGAAATGAAACACCGCCAAATTCCTGACCCCAGGCTGCTACTAAGAATTTCTTGTCAGAAAAACCCAATAACGGATTTTGGTTCCACTCAACCCAGGATCTCATAGTTAGCAGTCGCTTTTACGAGCAACAGACCTACGAGGCAGCCGACAGAAAACTACATAGATTTTAAATGACGCGGATACCATGCTCAGCTTATTGTTAGAACAATATACACTCACACACACATGTTGTTGGATGCTCTCTGTTGATCTGAACTTCCAACGAGTTGAATATGTGAAAGAAACAGGCCTTTGAGCAAGTAAAATCTTTCAAAATATAAATTACCATATACAGCAATAGGTACCTATATCAAGAATTTACAAGTCATCTAATACTCGATCAATGATTTTTTTTAATCGCCAGTGATTAAGGTTAAAAGCTGCAGTACAACCGCTTTAATAAGCTTTTTTGATTGAAAGAAATCTTACAACCACCTAAAAACATAGGATTTTCTCACTGTTACATAATGATAATGAAGATTCTTTATCTTCACATAGCAGTACACATGAGTCTCCCTCATTCTATGGAGGGGTTTTCCGTAATCACAATGTTTGTCAAGTGGACTGATAATCATTGTAACTGTCTCGCACCTTTAACTAAATATTTTATGTCTAGTATTTATGAAGTCAATATACTACCACCCTCTATCGATGGCCTCAAGTTCTTCCCGTTTTTCATTATAACCAAATGTCACTAGTTTTATGTCTCCTTCAGTGTTACGTATTAGTCTTACATTCACTTCAATGCGGTGACAGTGTCCACACGGCACCAAAAACATTAAAGTAATTTGTGACACTTTATAACTCGTTATTTTTCTTTTACCTATGAATGTAATTCAGGTGGAGGCTTTCCTAACACAATACGTGACGAACGACGCGCCGTCTCTACCCACATCTCCAAGCAGTCAGACGGTCGAAGCTCTAGCACCGACTCCTCGCCAAATATGGGATGTTGTGTTGGCTTTAGCGCTCTGCCATAATGTGACGCCAGTATATGAATTTGATCAGCGGGCGGACGAGGCACAGTCGGGTAAGAACCAAGATATCGGAATTTATTTACGCTTACAAAAGCAAATTTTCACATAGTTGATGTTTTATTGCATTTTAAATATTTTTTCTTATTCTATGACCAAATTACTGAAAAAAAAAATCAGTGTGGTCCTGTCGTCCGTCGTTCCGTTCGTCATAAAGAGTTATAAAAATAAATTGTCACTCATATAATTGACGTCCCGATGTCAAAGTTGACCCGGTGTACCTTCACACGTACTAAAACTATTCATTAAAAAGCTGAAGGTACTTCAGGTTAACTTTGACATCGGGACGTCAATCACCTCAGTCCCCGCGTGATCACTAGTGCTGCAAGTCACTGGAAAACTCGGGAATTGAAAATAAATATATTTTAACGCGATAAAGTCCGTAAAAGTAGTTTTATTCTATAGATTTAGGTTTTTCAGTCTTGTCCTCCACTATACTAACGAGGCAGTCAGTAGTAGTAGTTGTAGTAGTACGACTGCTAATCATGAGGTCCTGGGTTCGAAACCCGGGTCGGGCCAAAAAATCAATTATTGAGTTTTTCCGTCAAGAAATTCTCAGTAGCTGCCCGGAGTCAGGAAGTTGGCGGTGTCTCACCCCCGTGCCTCGGAAAGCACGTAAAGCCGTTGGTCCTGCGCCTGATCTCCCTCCGGTCGTGGCGGTTTACCGTCCCATCGGATTATGAGAGTGAGGGAAGAGAGAATGCACCTGTGGTTGCGCTTACACTTGGGAACTATAATCCTGCCCCGCGCCGATGGCTAGCCTCCGTTGAGGGAGGCCGCCGTGGCCGAAATTCGGTCGGGAGGACATTATTATTATTCTATAGATATACTGTTTAAATTGGCATGTCAGTGCCACAAACTCATAAGATTATACCCATTCAAAAATGGCCCAATGCGCCTAAAAAAGTTTTTAATTGAACATTTTTTGTTTTCTCTTGCGACAGACATGGGCAGCTCGGTGATGTCGGAAAGCTGCAGCGGCGCGGTGCCGCAGCAGCAGCTGTGCGACTACCAGGCCTCCAGCCCCGACGAGGTGGCGCTCGTCAAGTGGACCGACATGGTAATCCACATTACTAACCTTCAAACCTTGCATATTGATGCTGGCCTAGTCTCCAAACTCCATCATGGCACTAACTCTATATATTTTATACAGATATATGTTGTTAACTATAACTTACAGCCAATTTCTATTGATTTGTGTTTTATTAATTATTAAGTACGCACGCTACTGCCTACTTGCTTCACATATAAAATATTTCTCTCTCCAAAAGGGTTTGCTGGAAGAGAACTCTTATTAGGGTTACGCTCGCCTTTGTACATTTTATTTAAAATATTCAAAATTTGCAACTTATAGTGTGTACAATAAAGAATAAAGAACTCTTCTATCAGAACAACCAGGAGTTGTACTACTTAAGTATTTTATGTGTATGTGCATATACACCATATGCATCTAAGATGTAGCCCTTTACTGTATGGTCGTATGATGAAACTCAGAGTTGCTCAGCGAGTTATGGAGAGAAAAATAAATAAATTTCGTAATGATGACATTCATAGTTAAACCGAAATAACCGACAGAGCCTTATAAATCAATAAGCTGAAGTGGCAATGAGCCGACTATATAACTCAGAGAACTGACATCAGTAACGTTTCAAGTGGCAGCCTCGTACCGGTAAGCGTAGTGTAGGTTAGCTACCGCTAGAAGGAGTGATGACCTGGTAAGAGATGTATGGAGTCTACGTATGCGTGTGGCTCAGGACTGTGCTTGTGGTATTTTTTGAAAGATGTATATGTTCAGCAGTGCAATTGTGATGAGCTGTAATGATCATGATGATGCATTTTTCTTTAAATCATATAGTATAATAGTATAAATATAAAGTATCTATTAATAAATGCATGTAAAAAATATTTTAAATTTGTTGTAGATGGGTGTATCACTGTACAAAAGAGATTTGCACAACATATCACTGAAGCTACGCGCGGCTAATGAGATTATGCAATTTACTATTCTTCAAGTTTTCCCTTTCTCTAGCGAAAGTAAAATGATGGGCATTATAGTACAGGTAAGTATATTCACTTAAAGATTAATAGTGAATTGTAGTTGACATAACATTTTCATTTAACACAAGTTTAAGATTTTTTTTAATATAAAATTCCTGGTAAATTCAGACTAATTTTAGAATGGGGTAAAGTTGTTTAGTTTTACGTCTTTATAACGTGGTACAGTCACGCTATATTATGTCTGAAGCACGAGTGGGTTGATTCGACCAGGGAAGAACCACGCCCTCACAGAATACCAGCGTGAAATAGCAGTTCAATGCTGCTGTGTTTCATATGGTTAGTGTAGAGATCTGCAAATAAGCTTTCCGTCTTAGCAGAGGTGACAACGCATTTACAAATTACAATATAGATGATAGATGTAGATGTATATTGGCCACAGCATCGACTTACAATCATTATAATTAAAAATCAGTATAAATAAATATAATTATAACAAAATAACTTAATAGGCTATTTTATTGTCTTCCACTAATCAAACGGTTTTATATAAATAATAGGTTGGGGAAAAAGTTTCTTCCTATTTTGTTTGTATAAAATTGAAGAAAAATCTCTCTACTGTTTGTATCTGGCTGGTTTTAATATCAATACATATACGACATTAAGAAAAAAAAATATTAAAAACACTTTCCCGCCATTTTTCAATTGGTTTTCTGTCCGCCAAAATGAACGAATCTAACGAAGAAATTCGATACATTCTGACGTTTTATTACAAAAATGGGTAAAATGCGACTCAAGCCGCGAAAAAATTGTGATATTTATGGACCTAATGCAGTGGCAGTAAGAGTGGCACAAAGTTGCTTCCCCAAAAATCCCAAGATTTCTACAACAATGAAATTATATTACTACCTACTATATGGCAACAAATTATCGAACAAAATGGTTTATAATATGTATTATAATTAAATGTAGTTAAACTTTAGAAAAATGTCTTGAATTTGTGTATAAAATACGAAGAAACTTCCCCGACCTTATTTATTACAAAGTAGCTAAACCTGCTATAGCAAATACCTGAATTTCACAAAAGCAAAGCCGCTTAGGACAGTCAGTAAAATAATAAATTATATACTAACTAACTTTCTAAATATTTTAGGAAGAAAACACAGGCGCCATAACCTATTACGTAAAAGGCGCTGATGTAGCTCTGTCTAAACTTTTGGACTCTTCGTGGCTCAGTAGCGAGTGCAGCAGACTAGCAGCCGATGGGCTCAGGACATTGGTAGTCGCCAAAAAGACATTGTCCAAGAATGAATATTTGGAATTTGAGGTACTGAATTAGTTTCAAATTGATTACATTAATATGGAATTTTGAATATAAGATTTTTTTACATTAATTATAATTTTTCTATGTATAAATGTACTTATACGAATAACATACAGGTGTACATATGCAAATATTAATTTGTATCCTGCTCGGAGGACCAATAAAAACTGCGGTTGCGAACCCGCATGTCAAGCGTGGCAACTATGGCAAATATCCCCTCTGTGAGGCAATCTATGGGGGAGGGCTATGTTCAGCAATAGACCTTAATAGGCTTACAGTAACAGTTGTGCTTAATTTACCACTGATTCGGAAAATAACTCTGTTCTGGGAAGAAACGAGCAAGAAACCCAGAAGGACTTTTTTGGAATAAAGAACAATTTACAGATACATTACACAATTTACAACCAAAACAAATTAGAAAAGCAACACGGGCTATCGGCGGACCAAAGAGGAGATGCCATAAAGGTTTTACCCAATACAGAACTTTCTGTCATTTTTTGCTGAGGGAAATCTGTGCGCACAAAAACAATCGTCTGGCACTACGAATATCACACATAACAAAACAATAAACTCACAATTGTACACACACACAAAGATACATTATAGTAATATCGCTCTGTGACAGCGACACCTGGGATATAGACTCGGATCAGACGTTCGACCGATCTGTATATATGTCATACTGTACGGGTGAGCGGCTTTTGTTGGTAAACAAATCCGAAAATACATGATCGTTATTATTGTAATTTTTAAGTTTAAAAAGAAGTAAATAGCAGTAATGTAAATTAAAAATTGTTATACCTACTTATATGAAAGTAAACGCCATCTTTTTGTAATTTTGTCGTGGCAAATCTGAAGCAAATAAGCCGCGCAACTAGATTTAGTCTTAGTGAGAGCAGTGCGTCTGCAGCTAGTTTTATTTCGATTGGGAATGGCTACTCGTTCAGGTCCGCCGATGGCCCATGTTGTTCTATGTTATCATTCATGAATAATAGTATAAGAACCCTTTTTATACAAACTGTGCTTAATAAAGTTCTTGAATTTTGCGGAGGTAAAACTTTTGTTGCATGTTAAATGAAAAATAAAATGTTTCAGAGCGAATACAAGGAGGCGCGGCTGAGCATGACGGCGCGCAGCGAGCGCACGGCGGCGGCGCTGGCGCGGCTGCGGTGCGGCCTGACACTGCTGGCGCTCACCGGCGTCGAAGACCGCCTCGCCGACCACGTGCCGCGCACGCTCGCCATGCTGCGCGCCGCCAACATAAAGGTATGTGCCGCGTTCGTATCGCGCCGCACCGAATCCGTACCTGTACCGCACCGCGATCCCAGCCACACTGCGTAGCGCCGTGCCGCGCCGCTCTTTTTTCTTTCAATTCGAAATACACTGATTCGTGTCCTCTCTGTCTCAACGCAATGGACTGTCAAAATTTATGAAAGCAAGGACTTGATTTTTGCTATTAGTCGTCTCTCTCGCACGCGTTGGCTTTTTACCGGGCTATCGAGAAGACAATCGTTCCCTTTGTAACCTGAGGAAAAATGTCCTATAATGAAATATAACCACGAAATGTTTATATAGCAATTACTATGGAACCAACATAAAGGAAATATAGGCTGTAACTTTACTTTTACTTTACTATGGAACCAAAAGTTGGGCTTTGCTCTGAATTTGTTTAGGAGTGCGCGGGCGTGCAGGCGATACATTTGCAAGTTCACTTCACATTTCAATGTTTATGTTTGTTTTTGTTGTGTCTGTTGAAAATTTATGCTGTTTCAAAGATTTTTAGTGAAAATGGAGGAGGATATAGGACAGAGTGTATATATAGAGGAGTGTTCCTTGTGACGAATTGAAGTGTGTTAAAGTGCTAATCGGCGAGGAAAAAAGGAAAAATCTGTAAACTTAGTCGAGAAAATACACAAGATCAAGAGCGTTACGTTACGTTACGTTTCGGACTTATCAATTACCGTAATTGAAAAAACAGTTATTGGTACAATTAAAACGTTCACCAACATTTTACACGGACGTAATCAAATCTTTCCTTAAGAAAGAGAGACCATTCAATTTAGAATATAAATATATATTTTTTAATTTTGTACATAGTTTGTACTTTGTTCTTGTATAGTATTGTATGTAAATATCTTTTTCTTTCGCTCAAACAAACCCACACGGCTTTTTTTAAAACCACCGAATTTATGCAATTGCTGATATGTCATACAATCTATCTAGCAGTAGTATGCCTTCTGTGTGCTTTGTTAAACACGTCCTCGACAGCACTGAATATGAAACTGAAGAGTGGAGACTGATCAAGATTGGAGTATTTTTATAAAACTGCTAAAAACAACAAAACCATATCTTGGGCGTGCCCTAGTTTGGAGCCCTAGCTTTGCCACTGCATGGACTATGTGTTCATTTGTTACCCTTAAAGTAATATATTTTTAAAAAAATAAGAAAAAATACAGCACTAAGGCATTGTTTTGTGTAATATACATATAAATATACTAGATACCAAATAAACTTTTATCTAAACCGCAACTTTTCAGTGATAATAGCACTGTGTGACCTTCTGGGTTTTGTAAAAAGTCATAGGTAACCTTTGCCTTGTTTTGTTTTGATGTTCATGTTTTGGACCTCAAACCTCCATGGAGCCCGCACTTTTGGATTTGATTTTGGATTATCGAGTGGATAAGTGGTAGCCTGGCTTACAGCGCGATATTGGTTACTTGATCCGGTTAGCGCACAGAAGGGGCTGAACCATTGTAGACTTAACGCCTCTCGCCTGTAGCCCTTTGACGAGACACAACACAAGATCGTTTCCCCATTTGTAGCTACCAGACAGGGCTACTGTTTTACGTTTGCTTCATGCCACTATACTAACCGTGCGGTTAAAGAATGGCATTGAAAATGGCGTCGTCTCTATTTACATTTCGCTCGCACACTATAGCTATCTTAACTCACACTTGCCGGTAAAGACTGCAAAAAAAAAAATTGCGTTGCGATATGAATTTTTCGTACGTACGTACGTTTCGTATGTCCATAACTTTAATTCATTTTGGAATTTAAAATAAAATTCCATAAACTATATAAAAATTCTGTCCCGTTTCGCTAATTTTTAAGCTACGATGCGTCGTGAGAGTTTTATTCGTTATTATTGTTGAGATTATTAATACTTTTTTTATAAAATATTTACATGATATTGAGGCATGAGTAACCATTTTTAAAATTTTCGTTTGTCCGTCCGAGTTAATCTTCGAAATGGCTGAACTGTAATAGAACTTGACGAACAAATAGTGATTCAGACTCAATTTTATTAGAAAAATTCGTCTTTATTAAAATATAAATATTCATAAGATAAAAAATAAATGATCTTTAAGGATCATACTAAGTCTAAATAACGCCACATTAATAGATCCCACTCAGGGGAAGCTTAGTCGAAAGTTGTTATAAATGTTATTTTAAAATTAATCCCATTAATATAAATTTTCCAACTATCGGAATAATATGACTTATAACGATATACCTTTATTAACGCGTTTACGCTATTGATACTGTGCATATTGACGGTACGGGCACGATGAGTCGCCATTTCTAATCCCATTCTTTATCTGTACCGACTGTGGAAATCGGCTCAAACTCCCAGGATTCTGTCATCCTCATGAACATTATACTACGTTCAGCACAGTCCAGCGTGTAGACGGAGTTTTTCACGTTTATACCGTGGGCAATAATGAAATCGCTGCGTCCAGATCTGGATGCTGACGGGCGACAAGCTGGAGACGGCGCTGTGCATCGCACGCTCGCTGCAGCTGGGCGGCGGCACGCAGTGGCTGGCCGCCAGCGAGTGCAGCTCGCGGCGCCAGGCACACGCCCTGCTGCAGTCCCTGCAGCGCGCAGACGACTCCACCGACCTCATCATTGAGGGGGAAACCCTCGAGGTACGCTGAGGTTCACCTCACTTGCCTCACCCTTACACTTTACTTCTCGACGTAAAATAATAATAATAATAATAATGATGATGATGCCAAACTCGAACGACTACGACGTGAGGCTATTCCGTCGTCGAATGAATCGGCTATGGCTGGAGATGCAGCTCCACATTCGACAGACCAGCATCCACACGTGGAAGCCGCCATGGATCTTCCAGTTGTGGTTGATTCGAACGACGATGAAATAGTCTCCCACGAACTAGAGCAAATGAGGAGTATATTGGAAGAGGCGATTTTGGAAACGCGCAGCACCCTTCTCGAAAATCGACCGCGACTTCCCCCGCATACCCTTAAGCAAGCGAAATCGGGCTGTCGTGAGGGCTCTTAACCCAATGCTGGTGACCTATTTGGAAGCCAGCCGGGACCTTTGCGAGACGGACTCGATTCTCTTTGGCGCCGCAGTGGCAGTTTGCCGTATTATTGGCGCCAAACTTCCCATGGCTGGACGCGCTACTACACAAAGTAACGCCATCCCAGCCTGGAGGAAAAGAATCGAGGACCGTATCGCAAAGGCAAGGGCCCTTATCGGCAGACTGACAAGCTTCAGGTCGGGTAATAATAGACCGAGGATTATGCGCACCGTTAGGATGGCGTTTGCTGGGACAAATATCAGTTTGTCCCAGCCGGATATCACGCAGAAACTAACGGAGCGCATAGACGACCTGAAGCAAAAGATCGCTGCTTGGGGGAAGCGAATTCGACGATTTTCCGAGAGGTCAAGGCGGTTCAACCAGAATCGTCTCTTCCAGAGTGATCAGAAGAGGCTCTATAAATTATTGGAGCGACCAAAGGTATGTGGAGCGGGCCAAGGACCGGATCAGGCTGACATTATCGCATTCTGGCGTGGCCTGTGGTCAGAGCCCGTAAACCACAGTGAGGGCCCTTGGATGGAAGTTGTGGCGACCCAGGGTGCGAGTGTTACGCCTATGGACCCCATCACCATAACGCCAGAAGACGTGGCTGAGGCGGTCCGTAGGGCCCCGAACTGGAAAAGTCCGGGACTCGACGGGCTGCATCACTACTGGCTGAAGGGGTTTGTGGTGGGTCACACTGTGCTCGCCCGACAGTTCCAAGAGGCTCTCAACCAGAAGTCGCTCCCGAGCCTCTTCACTACTGGGATCACGCATTTGGTTCTTAAAGACCAGGTTACCACAGACCCGAGCAAATACCGCCCCATCACGTGTCTGCCGACCATATACAAGACACTAACATCCATTTTGAGCGCGAGAATCACTCGTCACCTGGAATCAAATCAGGTGATGTCGCGCGCTCAAAATGGATGTCGGGGCGGCGGTTGTGGAACCAAGGAACCACTCCTCATTGACGCGGTCATTGGCAAAGTGGTGAAACGCAACCGTCGGATCTTCTCCGCCGCCTGGATAGACTACAGAAAGGCATTTGACTCGGTGCCCCATACATGGCTAAAGAGGGTCCTCGAGCTGTACAAGATTGACTGTACAGTTCGAGACTTCCTCGAGCAGTGTATAGGGCAGTGGAGTACGATCCTTTGTCATCTAGGCGAGCGGATGACGACTGCGAAAAGCCGCATAAGGATAAGAAGGGGTATATTCCAGGGCGACTGTCTGAGTCCAATCTGGTTCTGCCTCTCTTTGAACCCTCTCAGTACTTTACTGGAGGGTTCCGGGAGGGGATTTCAGCTTCGGAAAGGAGGTAAAAAAGTGACCCACCTTTTCTATATGGATGACCTCAAATTATTCGCCTCCAGTCGCTCCCATCTTATGGAATTGCTAAACATCACTTGTGAATTTAGCAATTCTATTGGAATGGAGCTGGGGACGGATAAGTGTGCGGTCCTCCATGTTGAGAGGGGTAGGGTTACTAACTCTGGGGGCATATAATCTATGCCCGTCAACTTAAGGACCCTTTCCGAGGCTGAAACATACCGATACCTGGGTATGTCACAGAACATCGGTATCAATGAGGCTGGTATGAAACAGTCAGTTTGCGACACGTTTTATGCACGCTTGACCAAAGTGCTTAACAGCCTTTTGTCCAGTGTGAATAAGACACACGCATATAACGGCTGGGTCATGCCTGTCCTCATATACCTTTGGCATACTCAGGTGGACTCAGACCGAACTTAACGCCCTGGATAGAAAAGTCCGCACTACCATGACGTCCCATAGGATGCATCATCCGAGATCGTCGGTAATGAGGCTGTACTTGCCGCGAAAGCATGGTGGGCGTGGCTTCCTGAGCGCGCTCACCATGCATAATCGCGAAGTGCTCAGCCTCCGTAATTACTTCCTGGTGAGATCGGATGATCCATTCTATAATGACGTCATTTATAGTGATAAAGGACTTACCCCTCTATCCTTAGCCAATGAGCAATGGCAAGACCCGGCAGTACAAAGCATTTCCGACCGGGAGACCGTATGGAAGGAGAAGGAGCTCCACGGGAGGTACTACAGGGTTCTACATGAGCCCTTCGTAGATACAGTCGCCTCCCTCAACTGGCTACGTTTCGGTGACCTTTTTGGGGAAACCGAGGGTTTTGTCTGTGCAATACAGGATCAGGTTATTAAGACCAACAACTATAGGAGATACATCCTAAAGGATGGCACCATCGACGTCTGTCGAGCTTGTCGTCATCCCGATGAGTCACTTAGGCATGTCATCTCCGGTTGTTCGGCGCTTTCTAACTCTGAGTACATTCACAGGCACAACCTAGTAGCCAGAATTCAACACTAGGAGCTCGCTCTGAAATACGGTCTCATGGATCGGAAATTGCCTTATTTTAAGTATTATCCGAAAGAAAATGACCGCGCTAGGTTCTACTGAGACCGGGCCTTCATCACAGACAGGACTATTCTTGCGAATAATACTGATATTGTGCTGATGGACCGGGCACAGTCAAGGATATTTTTGGTCGACATTACCATTCCGTATGACGAGAACCTCGTGAGAGCCGAAACAGATAAGCAATCAAAATATCTGGACCTGGCTCACGAGGTGACCGATATGTGGGGTGGTCTGCCGGCCGAAATTATTCCTGTAGTCGTCTCTGCGAATGGGCTAATCCCAGTCAGCCTCTCGGGTCATCTGAGGCGACTGGGACTCCGTGACGGACCGCTCCGGGCTCAAATGCAAAACGCGGTGCTCCTCGATACCGCCCGCATCGTCCGCCGGTTTCTTTCCCTTTCCTCCTAACCCTCGGCCGTTTGGTCTCCCCTGCCGAGGGCTTCCATCTGGTTGGGCTTTTATTTATTTATGTATTTTTGTATTTATTTTATTTTATTGATATTTATGTATATTTATAGTTTCATTTTAATTTATAATTATATATTTATATAACCCAACCAGATGAGAAAACTATATAGATACACCAAATAATAATAATAATAATAATAAAAGAACACGTATTTTACAAATACTTAAACGATGTAAGAATTAACAATATTATAAATTGACCGAATTAACTAGTTTCTACTAAATAGTAGTGTGAAGTACATTTGAACAGAGACTGTATTTTAATTATTTTGCTTAATCGTCTCAATTTTATTCTAGGACAGAGTTTTTTTGCGATCGTACGGTAAAATAAAATAAAAAGAGCCAATTAACATCAACGGGTTGAAACAGAACTGTCGATTCTCTTAATCACTACGCACCTGGTATTTAAATTTACGTTATTTAACTACGGAGTAATGAACTCAAAGCGTAATTTTAGTTAGTAGATTATCAGTCAGCCAGTCATTGCTTGACGGTGTAGGAAAACATTGTGAAAAACCTGTGTGTCGAGGAAATAAAAATAAAAATTCGTTTAATTAAATTCAGCTTGATTAAAGCTAAATTTTAAAAGAAAGAAGATGAAAGCTTTTTTTATACAAAACTTACGGTTTTCAAAAATAAAACTCGGGTATAAATCGACAAAAAAAATTAAATAATATTGACATAGGTTCTTCTGTAATCGGGGTTTTAATACTTCTCTCTCGCACTCTGTACTGTAGTTATTATGTGATAATTTTGAGTGAAATTTTAAATTATCATTAGTTTTTGAAGTCTGCTTTTAATTTTTACCGTCAGGTACAACTCATTATAAGCCCACTATGGAACTTAAGCCTCCCCATGGATTGCTTCTTCGGTATCCTCCTTATTCGCTTGTCAGGAAAGTTGGCAGTTGCAGTTCTTTTATTTTGTACTTGTTACTAGTAATTCGCCTCGACTTCGCACTGGTGATTTATGAATCTCAACAACTCCGCCTACCGGGTCCGGGCCATTGATATGCACATATATATATATATATATATACATATATATATACATATATACATACATACATATATATATTATATATATATAAATATAACATATAACATAACATAAACACTCACGCCTGTCACCCAGAGGGGTAGGCAGAGACTACAGACTTCCATTTAGCACGATCCTGACATACCTTTCTCGCCTCTTCCACATCCATATACCTACGCATACACGCTCGTCGGTTAAGGGTACTCTTAATTTGGCCCATTTTTAGTATATCGCCAATTTGGTCGACAAACTTCCGCCTAGGACGTCCCTTTCCGACTCTTCCATTCACTTCTGCAACATATATTTGCTTTGTCAGTCTTTCCGCATTCATTCTTTCTACATGACCAAACCACCGAAGCATTCCTTTCTTAATCCTGGTCACCGCATCATCTTGCAAACCACACTCTTCTTTTATCACACAGTTTCTCACCCTGTCACTCAGATTCAGCCCTAACATACTCCTTAGCGACCGCATTTCTACTGCATTTATTCTACTCTCGTGCTTCTTCTGCCACACCCAACTTTCACTACCATACGTTAAAGTAGGGACTAATACAACACTGTGAATTGCCATACGTGCCTTTTTTGACACATTCTGACTTTTCACAATAGAGTGTAGAGCCCCATTTACTTTATTTCCTGCATTCACTCGTCGTTGAATGTCCTTATCATATCTCCCATCCCTGCTGAATACACATCCCAAATATACGAACTCAACCACTTGCTCAATTAACTCTCCTTCTATTCTTATTTCACATACCGTTTTGCTTTCATCTCTTTCAAAAACCATCACTTTCGTCTTACTTGCGTTCACTTTCATTCCCCTTTCTTTTAATGACCTGTTCATTAATGTAACCATCATTTGCAACTCGGCCGCCGACGACGCAAGTATGACTTGATCATCGGCGTACAAAAGGCATTTGATGGTTAACTCACCCATTCTTAACCCGCATTCTTCAACTTTAAAATTTTCCAAACAGCTGTCCATAAATAGGTTGAACAGCCACGGGGAAGCTACACAGCCCTGTCTGACACCTCTATGGACCAAGCACTCGAGTCCCTATACAGAGACTTTAATGCCTGTATCAAACCAGCGCTCAACCTAAATGCGTTCAACGTTTGCCATAACACATCCCTGTCCACTCTGTCATAAGCCTTTTCCAAGTCCATGAACGCACAAAAAACTTTTTTGGTTTTTCGCCAAAAACTTCTCCGCGATCATGCGCATGGAAAATACTTGATCTGTACACCTCATTCCCTTTCTAAATCCCGCTTGCACATCCCAAATTTTTTCATCAGTTTCTTTCATAACTCTTTCAATTAGTACCTTAGCATACAATTTTCCCACAATGCTAAGAAGGCTGATACCACGGTAGTTTTTACAGTCCTGCTGTGACCCTTTTCCCTTATATATTGGGACTATCACGGCTTTGCACCAGTCTCCCGGTACCCGCTTTAGTTCCCAACATAAATTAAACAAGGTGTACAGCAGGCCTGCCACCACGTCCTCTCCAGCCCTTAGCATTTCGAGTGAAACTCTATCATATCCGGCTGCCTTACCTACTTTCATACTTTTCATTGCTTTCATTATTTCATCTATACTTATCTCCCTATCTCTTTCATCTTCTTTCGGAATTTCTATTTCATTTAGTTCACACTTCTCCTCACTCATAAAATCGCTTTCAAAATATTCCTTCCATCTCTTTAGACTCAACACTTCATCATTCAGGATACAGCCATTCTCGTCTCGTATCGCATTCAATCTAGGCTGTTTTGAAAGTCCCCTGGTATTTCTTACGAGTTTCCAGAACATTTTAATATTTGCCTGGAAGTTATCCAATATTCTTCTATCATTCCTATCCGTTCTTTCTTGCTTTTTCCTTTCAACTAATTCTTTTACTCTCTTATTTAAACGTTTAAACTCTGCCTTTTTTCTTTCATTCTCATCATTCTTACCGCCAGAGTTACCAGCTTTGGTCGCTAGTAAATCTAGTCATGCTCTCTTCCTTGCTTCAACTTCCATACGTACCTCATCATCCCACCATAACGTATTGTCTTTCCTTTTATTCGTTCTCTTACTAACACCACATACTTCGGTAGCTGCATCCACTAAACCTTTCTTAACAATATGCCATACATTCACCAAGTCTAACTCATTCGCACACAACTCATCCAAATTACTTATATTTTCTCTCAGTCTGCATTTGTACTTGTCTTTCACATTTTAATAAATCTTGTAACCTCTCAATTCTTATACGCTGTAACGCAGTGGTAGACACAGATGTCCTATGCCGCCAACGTCTGAATAAACCCCTAATTCGGCATAAGACCAGGTCCGTCCCTACGTTGGACCCCCGGTAAACCCTTGTATCCACCACTGCGCTCCTCATTCTTTCATCCACAGTTATGAAATCTATCATGCTTCTATCATCACCTCTTTCCCAAGTATACATGTGAATCTTCTTATGACGAAAGAAAGTGTTCGTCACAAAAATATTCCTTTCCACACATACGGTGAGGAGGCTTTCACCATTCTCATTTATACTTTCATCACCAAACGTTCCCAATATCCTTTCATAACCAAGCCTCCTCACCCCAACCCTTCCATTAAAATCTCCTAGCATAATAATATTTTCATTTCCCTTACATTTCATTAACATCCTTACCATTTCCCAAAACTGCTCCCGGATATAAGTGGGCTTAGACATGTCTGGGGCGTAGACCCCTAACACAAACAACTTCTTTAAGCCCACTTTCATTCGTATCCATAGCAGTCTTGGGGCTTACACATTCATACTCTTTCACACATTGGCCCATTCGTTCTGAAAGGCCCGCTCGATCTCGTCTACACCAGACCAGTATGCGGTATACATGCCATGTGCAGTGACATCCTTCCCCTTCCTTTTCGTCTCATTTACACATAATACATCTATTCCTCTATCATACATCATATCGCATACTTCATCAATTTTATCATTCATTGCCCCACATACATTCAACGTAGCCAGACGGGCCTCTGCAATCCACTTTTCGCCTCTCTGGGAGACAGAACGTGACGGGTGGCGAACCTCGTCGCCGGTTTTCCTCCCGGAGATTCTTCGCACCCCTGCCCCATTAAAGGGGCGCCGGGAACTCGGGGCCATTTCTTTTACTTTTTGCCTCATGGTGCGAAAACTAGGGCGTGGCATATTTTACGCCGCTACACACGGCGAGTAGCCGAGTCTGTTCTTTCGGCTTTGTCGCTCTTTTGGCACCACCCGGGGGAAACGTGTAGGGTGGGCTAGGATTAGGTGGTCGAAGCCTACGGACGCGAGCGACTTATCCCCCCCCTATAATATATATATATATATATATATATATATATATATATATATATATATATATATATATATATATATGTATTATTAGGGAAGACGCTGCTGCCCATATCTTGGTTTGTTTCCTTCTGTCGCCTCATACGACATCTACGTGACGGATTTTTGCTAAAAGTATTTTTGATAGTAGAGTTTGTTTTTACAAAACGCGTTTCGTGTCGTGGGTGGGGTGGCAGGTGTGCCTGCGGTGCTACGAGGAGGAGTTCGTGGCGGTGCTGCGGCGCTGCTCAGGCGTGGTGGTGGCGCGCTGCTCGCCCACGCAGAAGGCGCGAGTGGCGCAGCTGCTGCGCGCGCGCGGACACGTCGTCGCCGCGGTCGGCGACGGCGGGAACGACGTCGCCATGATACAGGAGGCCGACATAGGTCAGTGTGTAGCATTGTATTGCAGGCCGACATCATGCTGCAAGCTGACGTGGGTGAGTGCTGTGCGCACACAGTTAGTCGCGGGTGTCAATTTGAATGACATAACATTATGTTATCTATAGGCTGTTTTTTAGGATACCTTTTGCGTTTTTTTTTAAAAAAATATCTATCTACAAGTAAGTTGTGTTGTTTACGGTTGCTTGAACTAATTATGGACGTCGCCGCCGGATAACAAAAAAAAAAAAACACAATTACTTTATAAATTTAATTAAAAGAACAATGTTTTTAATTTAAATAACTAATCCTAATTGTCTCTATTTGTTCGATGTTCGAAACGAAGTGAAGTCGCATCGTTGAGTTTCCGGTAAAGCGCTGCGTTGGTTGACACCGCATGCGTCATTGTGAAACCACGGCGCATATCCCATTAAATCAGCAAAACTGCCTCGTTGAAACAATATTTCAATATCGTGTAAAACTATGCATAGTATTTCGCGATTTCGCAAAGGGCATTCATATAAAAAACTCGTCTACTTTAAAACGGGAGATTTTGTTTTTAAGCTTCCTGCTTATGTTGAAAGGTATAAATCATTTTGTATTGTTAAATACTTGTGGTCAAATAAGAAACAAAATTTCATCCAATGGCCCAATCTTCACATACAGTTTAAAGTAAAAAATTAAAGTTACAATATATATACTTCCCAGCTGGTAAAGGCCTCCTCTCACTTCTGAGAGGGTTTTAGAGCAAGGAAGTTTTAAGGCATACAATTTAGCAATGAACTATTTCGTAGTTAATGACCCAAAATTGTATAGAATATCATTGGTTTCTTATAACACGAAAGTTGGCTGGCTATCAGAATTAGGTACTTGAAAAATGTGGCCGCCATTTTTTGCTTTTTACTTACTGCTTCTATTCCTTTAAAAATCGACGTTTGAGGATCCGTGTCCTCTAACTTTGTATCCTTTGTCATAATTGAAAATGACCGCCATTTGAACTTTTTGTTTACTTTACTATGCCGATTGCTTATGAAAACGACATCACTACGCATATCCGTTGTCGTAATAGGATGCGTATCATCAACGATCTTTATGTATCCGTTGCTACAATTCAAAAAGTGATCGTCATTTTCCACTTTTTTACTTACTGGCCCATCATGTTGAACTTTTTATTTACGACACCAATTGCTTTCAAAAACGATATCTGACAGTCCGTGTCATCTTAGATAGTGTATCCGCTGACAGAATTAAAAACTGGCTGCCGTACTGAACTTTTCAGCTACTAGATCGATTTCCTTTAAAATCGATATCTGAGAATCTGTATTGTCTTCAAAAATAAATTTGACAAAGTTGACAAAAATGATCGCCATTTTGAGAACTCTTGTTATTATGCAAATACTACTTATTAAAATTACTACGAATACAAATTTCTGATTAGAATTAAAGAATAGTGGTCACTTTGAATTTATTTCTGGATCATTAACTTTTAAAGCTTATATGTAAGAGTTCGTGTGGTCTATTTATGGTGAATTTTAAAGCAATTTTAAAACAAGAGTTTTCAATATGGCGGCTATTGTTTTTTCCAAATATTGAAGTTTAATTTATATTTATAGACCACGAGTGCACGTTTCGGACATTTATTTTAAAATTAATCGCTTTAGAAACAAAACATTTTCTATATGGCGATCATTTTTCAAATTGAAAAATAAATTCATTTTTCAGATAACAATGAGAACGGCATTGAAAACAATCGGTTAATAAAATTTTTTTATAAGGTCATCATTTTTTAAATTTTGACTACGAATTTAGATTCATAGACCAAATTCACTCCGTGATATTGATTTTAAAAGCAATCGCTCCAGAAACAAGAGTTTTCAAAATGGTGGCCACTTTATTCTCTTCTGGCAACTGAAAATCCTTATCATTATACTCTAATTTAACACTAAATATTAGTTATTTTAGTTTCGTTTAGTCTAATTTTCTACATAATTTCATTCGATTATTTGAGCGTCTTAGAAGGCAAATAAATGCTATAGGTAATAAATAAAAGAAAACTTTCATATTTACGAAAATTTTGAATACAGCCTCCAATAGGTAATAACTAACAGAGCGTAAGTGATTATCTCAAAAAATGTGGCTAGTTGAGTTTTATAATGTCAGGTTTGTTCCCCAGAGTTTTGGCAGGAACTTACCCGCGAGCGGATTGTTGCTTCTCTTGTCTGTGTTCTCATTTAAATAATGCTTTAAAGTGGATTTTGATACGCTATGCGATTTTGTATACTGAACTGTCTGCACCTTTGAACTATTAGTAGAAACGACGGAACTAGTGATCTAATATTGATATAAACCTCAAGTTATTTTGTCTGCTTAAGGGCCTTAAAAACTAGAGATGCAGTCGTCATCGACTATCCATTGGGTTAAGCTATCCTCAAAATCTCCCAGGAATTTCATTGTGACGCTACGCCATATTATGAAGAAGTTTTTGAAACAAAATATTATAAATTATTTCTTAATTCTTGACGCTGACAAATATGTAACCGTTCAAGTCCATAACCAAAGGAGTTGTAATGAGAGTATGCAGGGTTATTTCTCTAAGTGTATCCAAATTTAAATATTTAAGTTCAAATACAGAGTGGGCCATGAATTAAAAACTTATAATAAGAATAAAAATTAGATAGAAGAAAACCAATATCAGTTATGTACAAAATAATTTATTTCCGAGTAAGCCAACACATTGGAATTTACTTTTTAAAAATAATATCATTTAAATGAAGGGTCCCGCGACTTCCTTTAAACGAGCACGGACATTTTCGAATACTCTTCGGCATAAAGATCGAGAGTTTGCTTCTTTTATCCGTGCCTTTAAGTCATGCAATGTTTTCGGCTTATGGGTGTACACCAGATGCTTCAGATATCCTCATAAAAAGAAGTCTACTGAAGTGAAATCAACACTCCTGGGTGGCCAAGGAATGTCGCCTCTCCGAGAAATCAGCTTTTCCGGGAACATCTCTTAAACGACCGACAGGGACTTACTAGAGGTGTGACCAGTGGCTCCGTCTTACTGGAACCACGTATTCCGGTTCTAACCAGTAAATTTTTGTTGTTGTGATGACAGAAACTCTCTTAACATTTTCACAACTGGTAGTAGTACGTAGTAGAGTAGTAGAGTAGTAGTTAACAGTGACCGCACGACCGTGAAAATACTCGAAGAAATAGGATCCAATGATACCCTTAGCCAGGGTCCAATGTTACCTTAAGTGAATGAAGGGGTCTTTGAAGTTTTGTTTTAAGATTTACTCTGCTCCAGTACCTGCAGTTCTGTTCATTGACGTGACCATAAAGGTCGTAATGGGCTTCATCCGAAAACAAGATGTTATCTAAATTGCGGACATTGTCGCGGTCTACAGTTTGCGTACATTTCAATAGTTGGGCTTTAATTCCTGCACTAACTGATCTTTTGTGGATATAATTTCAATTATAATTTCAAAATATGGCGTAAGTTTGTGCGTGACATAACGTTTACGTGTTGATAAATCAAGATCGCGTCGAATTAATGTTTAAAATTCTCTGCATTTTCTCTTCACTCCGTGAAGTCCGTGGGTCGCCGGTTTGTTTCACATTTAATGTCGATGTCATCTTCTCGAACTTTTTCACCCATTTCTTTAATAAAACTAAACTCAGGCACTGTTTCAAGTCGTGTAAGTCGTACGCAACGCTAAACAATTGACTATCAGTAATGAGCGAAAAGTTGTTAAAATAAAATTGCTTTACGCAAAATGCGCGCTGCGGACCCGAAAATGGATCCATTGCGATTAAATTTCCAAGAAACGATCTAGCCGCTCCACTGATCCCCGCGGCCCGCGGCTCTTGTGTTTACGCGGGAAATTAAATTTTGATGTAAACTGATTCATGGGCCATTCTTAATATAAATACTGATATACCGTTTTCGCAGTTTTTTAAAATACGAGTAAAATTGAATGTGATTTATGGGCAACAACTGCAGGGTACGCGCATTTCTATGTGTGCGATTCAATTCACAGTTTTTGCGTACTATTTACTATTTTAATGACACGCTGACTAGTTACTAAGGTGTGCGTGATAACTACACGACCACATGCACTCCCGGATCATTCGCAAATTACACCATAGGATAGTGTGTACGCCGTGGTAAACAGTGGTGGCCTCAGAACGCCACCCTGTGGTACACCATATTTGACTTCTCTACTGTCTGGTGTATATTTAACCGCGTTTGGTCTTAGAACATATTCTTGATTTCTGTGTACTACTTTCGGCCGCTCAGGTAAGAGGTACTAAGCTCCAGGACATTTCCCCTTATGCCGTAGAAGTAAATCTTTTTTTAAAAGACATCATGACTCGTAGTCGAACGCCTTAGTCATATCCGTCAATATAGCTCAAAAAGGCGCTTTCTTGTCAACACTCGTCATAATATTTGAACTTTTACTTTTTATCTCGTCATAATATTAATATAGAAAAATAAAAATATTAGAGTATATTAATATTTTTATTTTTCCTAAATCCAATTTGTTCATTGCTCAGTATATTACATTTATTCAGATATTTATCCAGTGTTTCGTATGTAATATTTTCAAATACGTTAGAAAAAATCGGAATCAATGCTATTGGTCTATAGTTGGACATATCTTTGTTATTTTTTTTATGGAAAGGTTTTATTACAACAGTTTTCAGGATATTAGGAAATATACCAGAAGCAATACTAATATTCACAATGTGACTTAAGGGCTCAGCTATAACACCGCTGACAAATTTAACGACACAATTAGTTATACCGTCATAACCATGACTTTGTATGGATTTAAGGATTTTGATTACACTAACTATGTCGTCTGGGATGGTCGCTGTCATAAATATTGTATTTGAATTGTTGTCTAAGTAAATAATAATCCTGTCATATGTTTTATTATTTACACTTGGTCAATAAGGAAGTAATTAAATGAAGATGCTAATTCTTTAGTATTGAGAGGTTTATTATAATAATCGTATTAACTACTTTACTTAAGAATTAAAATTTTGTGTGTGGTGGCAGGCGTGGGCATTGAGGGTGCCGAGGGACGCGCGGCATCGCTGGCGGGCGACGTGAGCGTGCGCACGTTCAGCTCGCTGGCGCGCCTGCTGCTGGTGCACGGGCGCCGCGCTGCCATGCGCTCCGCCGCGCTTTGCCTTTTCATCGTGCACCGCGGCCTCGTCGTCTCCACCATGCAGGTGCCTCGCTCCTCTCCCTCCACACGTGCGCGCGTTCAGCTCGCTGGCGCACCTGCTGCTGGTGCACGGGCGCCGCGCCGCCATGCCCTCCGCCGCGCTCTGCTTCTTCATCATGCACCGCGACCTCGTCGTCTCCACCATGCAGGTGCCTCGCTCCCCTCCCTCGACACGTGCGCGCGTTCAGCTCGCTGGCGCGCCTGCTGCTGATGCACGGGCGCCGCGCCGCCATGCGCTCCGCCGCGCTCTACCTCTTCATTGTGCACCGCGGCCTCGTCTCCACCATGCAGGTGCCTCGCTCTCCTCCCTCTCCACACGTGCGCGCGTTCAGCTCGCTGGCGCGCCTGCTGCTGGTGCACGGTCGCCGCGCCGCCATGCGCTCCGCCGTGCTCTGCCTCTTCATCGTGCACCGCGGCCTCGCCGTCTCCACCATGCTGCCTCGCTCCCCTCCCTCCACACGTGCGCGCGTTCAGCTCGCTGGCGCGCCTGCTGCTGGAGCACGGGCGCCGCGCCGCAATGCGCTCCGCCTCTTCGTTGTGCACCGCGGCCTCGTCTCCACCATGCAGGTGCCTCGCTCCCCTTCCTCCACACGTGCGCGCGTTCAGCTCGCTGGCGCGCCTGCTGCTGGTGCCCGGGCGCCGCGCCGCCATGCGCTCCGCCGCCCTCTGCCTCTTCATCGTGCACCGCGGCCTCGTCGTCTCCACCATGCAGGTGCCTCGCTCCCCTCCCTCTTCACACGTGCGCGCGTTCAGCTCGCTGGCGCGCCTGCTGCTGGTGCACGGGCGCCGCGCCGCAATGCGCTCCGTCGCGCTCCGCCTCTTTATTGTGCACCGCGGCCTCGTCTCCACCATGCAGGTGCCTCGCTCCCCTCCCTCTCCACACGTGCGCGCGTTCAGCTCGCTGGCGCGCCTGCAGCTGGTGCACGGGCGCCGCGCCGCCATGCGCTTCGCCGCGCTTTGCCACCCCCTCTACATTCTCTCACTCGTCCCTTCCTCCTATTTCTCCTTGCACTCCTACTGCGGACAATACACCTCCTCGTACTTATCCTGCCCAGTTCTCCTAATCTTCTCACACCTTTTACTATATCTCTCACTTCTAATCCTTCTCCCACACCATCACCACCACGCATTTATTTAATAAAATATAAAAATATTTTATTAAATAAATGCTTGGTTTATTTAATAAAATATTTTATTTTAGCCAACACCTATCACCTCCTCTCATTGTCTGCCTTTATTCAACTGATAACAAATATTATTACGGAATAACACTGATTGTGAATGATATACCAAAATCGCAACGTTTGACAGACTGATTGGCATTAGTACCAGACGCATCTTACACTATCGCTTACATATCGCAACAGTGGGTACTTACAACCTGGTTATGCCGGACTCGTAGGCAGAAAATGAGTTCGCATAGTAAACAGTCAAAAGTACAGATACAGATACAGTAAGTGATAAGTGGTTCACTATCAGCAGCTTGATACACCTGATGGTTAGTGGCGAAGCTAGGGCTCCTAACTAGGGCAAGCCCAAGATATTGTTACGAGCTTGAGGTTCTTGACAATAAAAATTGCCGATAAAATTACCTAAATTAACACTTTAATTTTCTTTACACAAATTTAAACTTAAAACACTAATAATTAATCACACTGATTCCCTTTTTTTTCTCCGAAGCTTCGCTTGTCTCGCCAAATTCAATACTTCCCGATCGCACCTTGCAGCGCCTATAAATACACATTAGTACCGAATCATCCAGAACATTCAAGTAAATACGCGCACCAATCGACAAAGCGCCGAAAGTTCGAGAGTCAGCTTCCAGAAGCTTAGTTTTTCCTTTCGACAACAGATGGCGCTGTTGGTTGAAAGATTAGTGATGTCATTTTCTGGAAAGCTCTTCCCTCGCTCCGTTACCCGACACTAGATAGATATTTACATACAATACTATACATGAACAAAGTACAAACAAACTATGTACAAAATTAAAAAACAAATTATTTATATTCTAAATTGAATGGTCTCTCTTTCTTAAGGAAAGATTGAATTACGTCCGCGTTAAATGTTGGTGAACGTTTTAATTGTACGAATAACTGTTTTTTCAATTGCTATAATTGATAAGTCCGAAAGACGCTCTTGACCTTGTGTATTTTCTCAACAAAATTTAAAGATTTTACCTTTGCCTCGCCGATTAGCACTTCAACACACTTCAATTCTTCACAAGGAACACTATTATCCCCCATTTTCGCTAAAAATCTTTGAAACAGCATAAATTTTCAACGGACGCAACAAAAACAAACATAAACATTGAAATGTGAACTGAACTTGCAAACGTATCGCCCGCGCGTCCGCGCACTCGGAAACAACTTCAGAGCAAAGCCTGGCTTTTGGTTCCATAGTAATTATTATACAGTGTGTAAGTGTAAACACCGTTGTCACTGAAACCATAGGTGGTTGGCTTTAATATAAAAATATTTATCTGATTTTTTTTTAAAAAAACGCTATTTTCTTTTATAAAATTAAAAAAGTTTCTGTCCGACACCGTCCGTAAATTCATGGATACCCTATGCGCTCGAGTGACGTAATCACTGTAAAGATCACCGCCCGCCCTTGCTACATACACAACATTTCAATATAAACAATGGTACACATAACCTATCATGAAACTTTTCCTTCATACTTTCACACTTGCTTAGGACAGATAAAAATTCCTACCCTTTGTGTTGCGTGACGAGTCCAAATTAATGTAAGTTAGATTTAACAACAAAGAAAATTAAACATTAATAATAGTAAATAGTAAATCATTAGGTAGGATTTTGGCGTATTTACCGTATACCGTACCGCGGCCCTGGAACGCAAAGGGCATTTGAAGCATAAGCTGACCGTTCATTGTACGGAAAGATCATACAAAGCGAGGCCAAGACAAAGGATTTGTACAGCTTGATGTGTAGCCTGATTGATTGGTTATTTATACTTACCTATTAAATAAAATCCTCGTAAATGAATTCCATTTTGATCAGCTTTTACATTAATCGTAAAAGCTAGAAGCACAACAGTGTCATTTCTCTAAATACACTAAGAATTCGCCTTTTGAGTTCGGACGTATTACGGAACTTAGTTGCATACACTCGGCGCTTCACTTCTCCCCAAAGATAAAAGTCCAGCGGGGTAAGGTCGGTTCATCGCCCAGGAAACTCCTCAACCAGCATAGCTCTGATTTGCAGCTGAAATGTGCAGGGGCACCGTCATGTTGTTAGTAGAGGTTTCTCAGTGAACGAAGAGGCACATTTCCACTGCACGTTTATGTAGGACATAATTACAAATTAAATACACTCGCACCAAAATTACAACCTAAAGCGATGTAGAATGTCGGCACTGCGCGGCGCGGTTTTAAATCAAATTAACACGTACATTCCGTACCGACGAAGCGAAGGTGTGACTGACACACTGACACAGTGACATTGGCCTTGACCGCGAATCGCTGCCGCTACCTACGATATGTTGAGTTTTTTTGTTGTGAATTCTGTAGGTATATCCCTACTTACCTAGGGTGAAATAATTGTAAGAAAAAATTGAGATTTGACTAAAAAAATGTTGTTATTTTTCATTGAAATTACTTTCTATAAGTGAAACCAAACCACTGGTTGCAAGGACAACGGTGTTTACACTAACACCCTTTATAAACATTTCGTAGTTATATTTCATTATAGAACATTTTGCCACAGGTCAGGTGACAGTCCATTGCGTGTTCGCTTTGAGACAGAGGGAACACGAATCAGTATATTTCGAATTGAAAGCAAACTGCCAAGTGTTGACGTTACATATATGCTACGGGGTCATGACCTGTGTAGAACAGAGGAGCGCGCGGGAAATTTGAAATAGTTTGAAACAGTTTACGAGTTATTTTATTAGCTGATATTTTTGATTGAGCAGTTTCAAAGAGCAAACCTGGCTTTTTGGCTTCTATGGACGCTTCGCCACTGCTGATGGTCAGTAAATTCTGATGACATCTACATCTATTCGCGGTCAAGGATCAAAATGCAGATGCGTTGTACCCTGAAGACTAAAATACCTCGTTACAAGTAAAAAAGGTTTGCGGTTCTCTACACGTACCATACGAAACAACGCACAAATTAAGCTGCTTTCGCATGCTGATATTCTGTGAGAGCATGGTCCTTCCCCGGCCGAGTTGTACTATTCGTGCCACAAGCGTGGCTTTACTTCGTATGATACTATTCAAAGAAGAAGAGTTAAGTAATTTAATGAAATAATATTTATTGTTTAATGTTTTTTCGCAGGCGGTGTTCTCGGTGGTGTTCTACTTCTCGTCAGTATCTCTCTACCCCGGATTTCTTATGGTCGGATACGGAACTGTTTTCACTATGCTACCAGTTTTCTCTTTAGTAAGTATTCTCTGAGTAAAAATATAATTTAATTTGAGTTTAAAATATTTTAAAGAACTAGGACAGACGGTAATTTGATAAATAACAATTTAGTGTATTTGAATTTTAGTATAGGGACTTAAGACACCTTCACATTTATTTTGTCATGTGGGTGTCTTAAGAAGCGAATTTCCTCATAACCAAACCATAACAAAAACCTCATTGGAATAAGCACACAGTAATAATTAAACAATAATTAACCAATTTTTTAGCTTTAAATAATTGTGTATTTGTTATATTGTTAATACACGTCTCTTTAATTAAAGTGTTTACAATTTTATATTAAACACTAGATCAATCAACTACTTGTTAACATTGCTGCAAAATGATAAACTGATTATGACCCGGATCTTTAGTAAGATATCAGGATTATTACTTTTAAATATATATTTCCAGGTTCTTGACAAGGACATCCCGAGCTCGACGGCACTAAGGTACCCTCAACTGTATAGACAGTTAACAAATGGAAGACAACTCTCATATAAAACTTTTTATATATGGATTGGTATATCTATCTATCAAGGTAAGTTGTTTTTTCATCCATTTTTATCGTAAATGTAACTTTATATTTAAATATTTGGAACAAAAAATCCTTTTATTGAACAGCTAAAGACAAGGCTTTACTCATAAAATTCGATGTCAATTTAAGAAATACTTAGATTTGACCTCTGTCTTCCACTCTCTTTTTAATAGATGACTATAGAAAGAGACAAATAGAGATAATACTAAATTGAAGTAAGCGATGCTAATTGATTATACATAAAACTGATAAATATTAATAATGTTGATATTGATTAAAACTACTTTTACGGATTTTATCGCGTTTTATTTATATTAATTTTAATACCCGACGTTTCGGGCGCTTTCCAGCACCCATGTAGCCGAATTTGTACCCCGCTTGCTTCCAGAACAAACACGAATTTTTGACAAAGTATTAGGACAAATTGAATCTGGAAATGGTGCACTTTTCTTTTTAGATGCCCCTGGAGGAACTGGGAAGACATTTTTGTTAAATTTATTATTAGCACAAGTACGGAAAGATAAAAACATTGCTGTGGCCGTAGCTTCTTCCGGTATAGCCGCCACGCTGCTAAGCGGGGGCCGCACTGCACATTCTGTTTTAAAACTCTCTCTAAATCTAGCCCAGGAAGAATCGCCGATCTGCAACTTTAGCAAAAATAGTGCACGAGGTATAATGCTACGAAAATACAAACTTTCAGTGTGGGACGAAAGTACAATGTCGCATAAAAAAGCTGTAGAGGCATTAAATCGAACGCTCCAGGATTTGCGCAGCAATATCGATGTAATGGGAGGAATGGTGGTTTTACTGGCTGGTGACTTTCGCCAAACTTTACCTGTCATTCAAAAGGGCACACCTGCAGTAGAAATTAAAGCATGCCTCAAGTCGTCTATTTTATGGAACAAGGTGACAAAATTCAGTTTAACTACGAATATGAGAGTGCATTTGTGTAATGATATCAATGCTGGAAACTATGCTGACACGCTATTAAAAATTGGCGATGGGCGGTTGGAAACGGATGCTGAGGGCTGCGTTAAATTGTCGAGAGATTTTTGTAATTTAGTACAGGGTCATTCCGAATTAATTGCGAGCGTTTATTCAGATTTAACGAACAACATGCATGAAGACAAATGGTTATGTGAAATAGTGATTCTTGCACCAAAAAATGAGAGCGTTAACAAAATAAATTCAGATATAATAAGTGAAGTAACAGGAGAAATAACAGAGTATTTGTCAGTAGACACAGTTTCTAAATTCTCTAGAGTTGTCAGGTGTGCCCTCACATAAGCTTCAATTAAAATTAGGCGTCCCAGTCATGCTAATGCGAAATTTAGATGCTCCTCGGTTATGTAACGGGACAAGGCTGCGTGTGACACATCTTGGACGGAACATAATCGGTGCTACAATTTTGACAGGCGTAGGAAAAGGTGAAAATGTTATTATATCACGGATCCCTATAATTCCCACAGATCTTCCTTTTCAAGTCAAAAGGTTGCAATTCCCTATTAAGCTCAGTTTTGCAATGACAATTAATAAAGCGCAAGGGCAAACGTTACAGGTAGCGGGGGTCAACTTAGAAAAACCGTGCTTCTCTCATGGTCAGCTGTATGTAGCATGTTCGCGTGTGGCAAATACCCAGAATCTCCACATTCTTTCCACGAATGGAAAAACATGTAACATTGTGTATAGTAGCGTCTTAAAATAGTGTTCAGTTAGTTTTTTTCCAAAATTCCCACAAACAATTAATCAGAATCTTCCCTTTCAATTCGAAATTTCCTATTTAGCTCAGTTTCTTTTCAATTCCAAATGCTGCACCTCTGACGGACCTATTAAGCTCAGTTTCCTTTCAACTCAAAAGGCTGTATTTCTGACGGATCCTTTATTTGGCTCAGTTTCCTTTAATTAGAAAGATTTAGTTTTTCAAAAGTCTGCATCCCTGACGGATAATTATGCTCAGTTTCCTTTAATTAAAAAAATATCCCATTTCCATTTGGAATAAACAGGCTATTTTCATGCTTTCCTGTACGCTGCGTTTCAAAACATTTAAATAGGCTGACGAATCAATTTTGCTCAGTTTGCTTTTAATGGCTGCATCTCTGACAAATCCATAAAACTCAGTTTTCTTTCAATTCAAAAAGCAATGGATAGTTCATTTTCCCAGTGACCATGCGGGCGGAGCCGCGGGTAACAGCTAGTTTCATCTCAATATCATAATAATTGAATTTTATTTGCAGGCGGCGTCATCATGTACGGCGCTATTGTACTATTTGAAGACCAGCTGATCCACATAGTGGAGATCAGCTACACGGCGCTGATCCTTACCGAGCTGATCATGGTAGCGCTGACCGTGGTCACGTGGCACCGCCTCATGATCCTGGCCGAGCTGGTCAGCCTGGCCATGTACACGGCAACGCTTTTTATATTCACAACGTACTTTGGTAAGTAATATCGTCATAACTGTGCATTCATCATGGTCTTTGAAAGTGTAAAGAAGGAGCATACATATCGAATGTGTACAGAACGTCTACCAACATCATCTAATATATTACAGCTAATTTCGAGTACACTTGCCGCTATTTACTACGAGCAGATAAAGTGTAAAACAGTAATTCGTGTTGAGTGTGTAGCCTAGTGAACTTTGTGAGTTCATCTCGCAGGTTCTCTAATGCTTTCACCACTTTGTAAATTTTGGTACAAAATTCTTGGTACAATTCTACTGTTATTAAAATACATTCGTACTTACGTGTAATGTTAGCGTTACCAATTGTAAAAAGTCAACTTGGCTCTCTCCGCTGCACTCAAAATTTATTTGTAATCGCATTATTAAAATTAAAAAAAAATCATTTTGAAATCATTTGTGCATTGTAAATTGGGTAATCAAAAAACTTGTATTTGACGTTATTATTAAATTTCAGTTATGTTTGTTTCCAAAATTATATATATATATATATATATATATATATATTTATATATGTTCGCAATGAACAAAAGAAAGAAATCATAGATCTTCTCAAAGATTTATTGGTCTGAATTTACAGTTTTATAATTATATCATTCTTGTTTTTGTGCTTGTGTCTTGTTTGGTCGGAAGTTTAAATGGGTATGTGAGTGTTGGGTGTGGGGAATGATGTGGTGAGTATTTATGTAGTGTGATTGGTTGAATTCACGGTTGGTGTACGGACTCTATACAATAACGTAATATTAAGCGCCTTTATAGGAAATGCATTAGGGTCGACTGTCGAATATCTGGCGTCGACAATAGTATATATTTAAATTTCAACTATGTATTTTAAATGACTATAGTGCTAAATACCCAATTCATTTATCATCAATACGAAGTTACTTCCTATAGTAGCAAGGCTTGGCAAAAGTACGGTCGCTAACGCGCCTGGGGGTTGGGACCGCAGTTTTTTTTAAATTGTCTATCTGTTACTAAGAAGATGCTGCCCATCTACCCTGTTTCATTTCCGCCTGTCGCCTCACACGACGCTCCGACACCCGTGGCACGACATGTGGTAGTGGAAGTTCTTACACCGCAACTACGAGGCAACTGCTATTTCCAATTGCGGATGCGGTTAAAAATTTAATCGGTTACGGTGGGGATAAAAAACAGACTCACGTTTGCGTACTATGAAAGTTAAGACAACCGTATAGCGTATGTATTACAGCTCCTTTTTGAAAATCAATTTTCACTACAGATGCGGACTTCATCCGCCATTGGGACTTCTGGTGGAAGGTGACAACAATAACCCTGGTGTCATGTATGCCGCTGTACATCGTGAAACATATGCATAGAAAGTGGAGAGACCGTCAGTACAAGAACATTCGAAAATAATATCCAAACTATAGGAGTGTAGGTTCATATTTGAAATTATTACGCTGATCTATCAGTATATTATTTTTAAACTTTGTTTGAATATATGTGTATTGTTTTGTAAGAAGTTTAATATTTATTGTTAAACAATTTTATAGTGTCATGAGATTAACAAATAATGTACATTGTATATATTTAAAATATCACAATTTTTTCATACTTCTCAATAAATTTATTGACATAATCTTTCATTAACTTCTATTGAGAATTACTGGAACACTCCATGACTTATTCTATAGTAATAGTATTTATATAAGTATTTTGTTTTGTATACTCTGTCAACGATTTTAACATTTTTTTTAATTGTTTATTGGTAGTTTAGTAAGGAAAAATTGTTATGCACTTTTATTATCTAATAATATTGATTTTGTTAAAATAAAACGGAGGAGTTAGTTACACTTAGATACAATATTTTATTGCCTTAAAAAGATTTTCTTTTAAATTTACCAATTTTTTTAATGAGATAATTCACTGTTATAAAAACCGGTCAGATTGACGACCTGATTAAATACGCAGGGAATCGATGTATCCAGGTTGCTCAAGACTTGCTTTGTGATATCTGGTCTGTGGATTTTACAGCACTGCCACTCCTGAAAAACAATATTTGTGAATTTGCTCAAATATTGCTTTCTCTTAAGATTCGAAAGATTCGAAGAAAAAGATAAGCTAGCGAGGTACTCACACCATTAAACTACGCGGTCTTATAATCATACTGTATTGACATTAAGGAATATTGTAAAACACATGTGATAAGATAGATTATATTAGATGTTTTTTTTTTGTATTTTGACACTATTTTTGTTTAAAATTATATTTTTGTATATGTAATTAAATCTTACTTTAAGAAACCTTTATCGTATTATGATTCCAGTTCGAGTAGAGCTTGGTATAATATTTTATTATGAGTAATATTCCATAGTTAAGGTTCTGTATGTCTCTCAACTCTAAAGTTTATATATGGAGTGTAAATGTCATCAATAAGGTACAAATTTTGTTGTTTTTTTTTTGTGATATATGTATTTATTTCAAAGCCCATCTATATGTATGTTAAAACTTGATTATCGAAAAGGATTGTGTACCATAGTATTTAGTTATGTTATACAATGTCTAAGTAGTTATGTTTTACAAGTATAAGCGGATGTTTATATTACCTAATAAAAACCCTAAGAAATGAATTTCGTATTTTTATTTTTAAAATCAATTCTGACACAATATTTAGCAGATAGAATCCAAAAAAATTATAAAAATATATTAAGTGCAACAAAATAGTAGTACCGAAATCACGAACTGGACCATGAGGCAAGCAAGTGTTCTGTGAGCTATATGATTATTTTGCTCATCATAACAAAGCATTACGTGTTTCGCGTTACACCTTCCTGGCATTTCTCCATTACATACATAATCTGACAACCATGTGGAGGTGTAAAAGTATCTACTACCCCATATCAACCCATGGCTGTCGTAAGAGGCGGTAGAGCGAACATTAGATCTGTATGAAGATAAACTATGGTTGGCAACCCGCTTACCAAGCCTGGTATCTATGACACATATCCCTCCTATGAAAATCTATGGGAGAGGCCTATGTCATAGTAAAAACAGAATAGTGGGAAAACTACCGCTCCGCGCGAGACTTAAATGCCTACTGTAGCAGGGCTCTCACTATCGTTTTGTTTAACAGCTAAGTCTCATTTAGTTCTTCAAGTAGTTTATATATATTTTTTTTTAACTTTAACAGTGGCAGAGCCACGCGGCAGCCTTTGCTGTTGCATGTATTGGCCGGCTCAAACCGGGGTACCTCACAGAATACCAGCGCGAAGTAGAGGCTTTGCTTCTGCGTTTCGTCTGGTGAGTGCAGGTGGCCGGATGCCCAATCCCCCCATCAACATGTTAGCGGAATTAAATGCAAGGGTAGTCAGGAGGGTGTCAGCACCGCTGGAGAATCCCTCGCTGAGCATCCACGACCAAGCTACTCCACTCTTGAGCTTGGGTGCTCAGGCTGCCCCGCTTATATTGGGTGGGGGGGGAGGCCACAATTCCGCTCAAGACTAACCCTGCTAGAGGCAAACAGAGCAATAAGTCAAAGGCGCTCCCTGCCACGCTATCCGTGAGTTTCTGCAACATCAAGGGACTTCATTCAAACCTTAACGCTGTCCACTACCATCTGGAAACGGCGAAGCCGGCCTTGCTCTTTCTAACCGGGACACAGGTGTCCTCTCCGGCTGATGCTTCGTATCTCTCCTATCCAGGGTACAAATTATAACACTCTTTTGTGCCCCGGCCGGAGTTTGCGTGTGTCAGAGAGGACATCTGTTTCCGACGCCTTGGCAGCCTTGAACGTACGGACGTGGCCATCTTATGGCTGCGCGTAGACAGCGACGACCACCCCCGCGTCTACGAGTGCCTCTATAGGTCCCATAACGGTAATGTCGAAACAGACCGACTTATCGACCTCGTCCAGGTGGCTACAGACTCCGTGCTACAACAGATCCCGTTCGCAGATATCGTGATACTTGGAGATTTTAACGCCCACCACGCTGAATGGCTTGGTTCGCGTTTAACCGATCATGCGGGTAGATCTGTTTATGACTTTGCTTTGGCATATGATCTGACACAACTGGTTACCTCAACTACGCTGATCCCAGATGTGGAAGATCATGTACCTTCCTTGTTGGACCTTCTGCTGACCTCTCATCCGGACGGATATCAGGTCTCCGTCGATGCCTCTCTCGGCTCCTCGGACCATTGTCATATCCGGAGTACGGTGCCACTCACGAACTCATCGCGGTTGCGTACTGCAGGTTGCCGTCGTGTTTGGCATTATAGGTCAGCAGACTGGGACGGGATGCGATCTTTTTTGCATCCTACCCTTGGGGGCGGGCTTGTTTCTCGCCGGATGATCACAGCGTTGTTGCTGATTCTGTCGCTGATGTGGTGCTACAGGGGATGGAACTTTTTATTCCATCATCTGTGGTTCCTATCGGAGGCAGAACCCAGCCTTGGTTTGGTCGCTCCCGCAAAATTGCACTACGTCGTAAGCAGGAGTGCTACAAGGCCTGGGCTCACGCATCGACGTCTCGGGATGCAAACACCAGCGCCCTTAAAAAGAAGAATTTTCTGCCTCCAGGTCCTTCAAAGTGTCATTGTCAAGGCAAAGTCAGAGCACATCGGCAGAATTCGCGAGAAACTAGTTCGTCTTCCTTCGGGAACGCGTGCATTCTGGTCTCTCGCCAAGGCTGTCCAAGGAAACTTCTGTCAGCCATCCCTCCCATCTTTGCACAGGGAGGACGACTCACTGGTCCATGCCACAAAGGAGACAGCTGATCTGCTGGGCTCTCTCTTTGCGTCCAACTCGACTCTTGTTGACGGGGGGAACACACCGCCGATCGTCCCGCGGAGTGAGTGCTCGATGCAGGATGTGCTGTTTACCCAACGCTCAGTCCGCGGAGTACTCCTCTCCTAGACTTCAACAAGTCGAGTGGGCCGGATGGCGTCCCTCCTATTGTGCTAAAGAAGTGAGCTCCGGAGTTAGCACCGGCTTTAGCGCGTCTTTTCCGGTACTCCTACTCCCTAGGCGTAGTCCCTAAATCATGGGAGACAGACCTCGTGCACCCGATCCCTAAAAAAGGTAACCGCTCTGATCCATCCAACTATAGGCCTAGCGCCATCACCTCCTTGTTCTCTAAAATAATGGAATCCATTATTAACAGCCAGCTCATGCGGTACTTTGAAGATCACCAGCTGATTAGTGACCGCCAGTACGGTTTCCGTCACGGTCGCTCGGCTGGTGATCTTCTGGGTTACCTAACCATAAATGGGCGGAGATAGTAGAGTCCAAGGGGGAGGCGTTGGCCGTTAGTTTGGACATAGAGAAGGCCTTAGACACAAAGCGCTTGTTACGAAACTTCCTATCTATCGGCTTCCCGAGAAATTGTGCAATTGTATCGCCAGTTTTCTTGCTGATCGCAGCATCAAGTCGTAGTAGACGGTGCATGCTCCGATTACGAGCCCATTAACGCTGGTGTTCCACAAGGCTGCGTGCTATCACCGACGCTGTTTTTTCTGCATATCAATGACATGTTGCAAACCGGTAACATTCATTGCTATTATTATTGCAGACAACAGCACTGGTGATGCTTTATACACCGGCCGTACCAATATTTCTCGGGAAAACGTCGCCGAGTACCAAGACAAACTTGTCTCTGAAGTCGAAACTTTGTTGAACAAAGTCTCGAACTGGGGGCGACTAAATCTAGTCCAGTTTAATTTTTTTTTATTTGGTTCACAAATGGAATGTAACGTTTACATGGTACAGGTAACATAAAAAGTAACAAACAAACGTAATGAACGATTAACCTTTAACGTTTAAACGTCTTAAATTTTTACCGTTCAACTAATAACAGTGAACACAGCATGCAACAAGTGGACAAGATAACAGATACAAATAAAGAAATAAAAAGAAACTCTAAAGTGATAAATATTAGTTAATTAATGGCTAATCGAATGTTAGCCCTTGCTGAGGGCCTTAGAACCATGAAAGATGTCGAACAAATCATGAATATTATTGTAACTATTAGTCATTCTGTACAATAGCGAGTGATGACCTGCCACTGTTTTACAGTGTGGCGTGACAAAAGTCTTTAATTTTGCGGCCCAAACGACTGCCAGCTCTAGGGACCGACACATCTAAATGATTTAAAATGTCTGGACAGTTGATGAGACCATGGATAATTTTACAGAGGAACATGACATCAGATGATAACCGGCGCTTGAATAGCGATCCTAATTTGCAGTGTGCCAATCTACTCTCGTATGAAATGAGTGTCCTGCATTGATTATTTACATATGATAACTGGTACATAAACCTTTTCTGAATCTTTTCCAGTCGGTTTGAGTGACACTTGTACCCCGGATTCCAAACTGGGCTAGCGTGTTCCACAATAATTCTCACCAAACAGTTATAG